CATGACCTCATTTCAGTTGCTCAGCAACCAGCCTGTATTTACAACCATTTGCAGCCTCCCACGATCAATGACCACGATTTAAAGTTTTTTTTTTTTGGCAAGAACAAGTGTTTTACTTCCAGTTTGGGGCAAAAATGCCCCTTAACAATGGGTTAATTTATCGACCACAGATTTACTTAAAAGACCATGACAATTTGCTTAAGGATCACTGCAAAAAAAAACAACAACAACAAAAAACAAAAAAACAAACAAACAAACAAACAAACAAAAACCTTAAAAGGCCATGAAATTGGATTGGTCATGTGATGTCTCACTTTACGACTATCACAGACAGGCTCCATGATGGTCATAAGTCAAGGACTTCCTGTACACTTATCCCAGGATAGAAAGCAAGAAAAAGAAGGCTCTAACAACGAACAAGATGCTACTCCCATCAGGAGCTCTTAAAAGCCTTGGGGCCAGTGCACAAGCGAGTACAGGACAGCTCAAAATTCCTGCAACCGTTCCGTACAAAAATTCATTTTTTCATCCCTGCAACTGTTTTAGCCTCCAGCCCCCACGTCGCCTTTGTTGCTTCTCCTCTAGACTCTTTCTATATTCTCAACATCCTTTTTTGGGTATCCGGTTTCGGTCACCACAATAAGGATGTTGAGACTTGCAGAGAAAAGCAGCAAAGATTATTAGGGGACTAAACATGAGAGCCTCGGTGGCGCGGCAGACTAAAGTGCTGTTAAGTAACACCAGCTGCCTGCAATTACTGCGAGTTCAATTCTCACCAGGCTCAAGGTTGACTCAGTCTTCCATCCTTCCAAAGGTAGGTAAAATGAGGACCCGGATTGTGGGGGCAATAAGGTGACTTTGTATATAAAAAGAACACCGCTTGGGGGGGCCCAAAAACCCTACTAAGCAGGTATATACAAAAGTATGAAGGCTATTGCTTAACGCACTGTAAACCACCCTGAGTCTCCGGAGAAGGGCGGCATATAAATCGAACCAATAAATAAATAAACAATAAATAAACACGTGAAGAACAATTGCAGGAATTGGGTTTGTCTAGTCTAGAGAAGAGGAGGACCGGGTGGGACATGATAGCATCTTTAATTTTTTTTATTTTTTTTAAATTTTTGATTTATATGCCGCCCTTCTCCGGAAACTCAGGGCGGCTTACAATGCGTTAAGCAATAGCCTTCATCCTTTTGTATATTTATACGAAGTCAGCTTCCAATATTTGAGGGGCTGCCACAAAGAAGAGGGAGTCAAGCTATTCTCCAAAGCACCTGAAGGCAGGACAGTATACAATGGGTGGAAACTAGCCAAGGAGAGAGTTTTAAAAATGGGATTTTAAATTTGGGGTTTTAAATTGAGCCTATCATTTAATAATTTTAATTATTTTTTTATTTTTTTCCGTCTTTGTGCTTTTAATCAGGCTGTACACCGCCCTGAGTCCTTCGGGAGAAGGGCGGTATAGAAATAAAATAAAATAAAATAAAATAAAATAAAATAAAATAAAATAAAATAAAATAAAATAAAATAATAAAATATAAAATAAAATAAAATAAAATAAAATAAAATAATAAAATAAAATAAAATAAAATAAAATAAACCTAGAACCAAGGAGAAAATTCCTGATCGTGAGAACAATTAATCAGCAGAAGTTGTGGATGTTCCATCATCACTGGAGGTTTTAAAGAAGAGATTGGACAACCGTTTGTCCAGAATGGTATAGGGCTGTGATGGCGAACCTGTGGCACGCAGAGCCCTCCCTGCAGCCACGCCATCGGCCCAGCCCAGCTCCACCGCACATGCGTGCCTCCAACTGGCCATTGGGTCTCTGCTGCGCATGCTGAAAGGGGGGGGGGGCTGGCATTGCATTTTGGGGTTTTGCATGCGTGTGCGTGCCCCCTGCGCCCCATTTTGGGCGTGGAAGGCCTGCACCAACCTGGAAGCCAAAATGGGGTGCGAGAGAGCTGTACCCCGTTTTGGGCCTGGAGAGCCTCCTGCACCAACCTGGAAGCCAAAAATGGGCAAGGGGGGGGGAGGCAGGGTGTATGTGTGGGGGGCGGGGCGCATGCGCGGGGGGCCACTCGCACTGCATTTTGGGGGGTTCCAGCCAGGGTGGATTAAATCGAGTCGATTTAAATCACTAGTAAAAAGGCTTGATTTAAATCAACTCGATTTAAATCATAATTTTTAAAGAGCAACGGTCATCTCTGCTACTCCTTTGACCCACCGTTGACTCACCGATAGTCCCAGTGTTGTAGAATATCCAGCCTCCTGCTACATAATTAAGCTGTCAGACGTCGATGCTATCTCAAAATAAAATGAATTTCCAAACTGCCAATCTTTAAGGAAATCTTTTCTTTAATTGAGCACAGCCACCGGATCATGGCTCGATGCGGACAAGACTGACCTTTTGCCCCCCAATCCCTCCCTTTCCGATCCCCAAATCTCTGCTTTTCATTGGCTAACTTCCAAGTCATTCTCCAGACTTCTTGTCTTGTCATTTCCCAGGAATGTCTCCCCCCTTCATTTCCACGACAACCCGGCTTCAAAGGGATTTAGCAGGCAGAAGTTCAGAGCTTATCTCTCTCTCTCTCTCTGCTCTCTATGCCAGCGTCGAAACGCTGACATAAGCTCCATTTCATGCTGAATAAACTAAATCATTTATGTATCTTAAATAGAAAATTATCTTACGATAGATTTTTACCCCAAAAGTTTTTTATTAAAATAAATTCGATAAAAATAAAAAAAATCCGATTTAAATAAAAAAAATCTGATTTTTTTGTTTTTTTAAAAAAACATTATTGATTTTTATCTACCCTGGTTCCAGCATGCACACACGCATTCGCACACACGCATTCGCACACGCTTTGGGCACCAAAAAGGTTAACCATCACTGGTATAGGGTTTCCTGTCTGAGCAAGGGGTTGGACTAGAACAGTGGTGGCGAACCTTTTACTCACCGAGTGCCGAACAGGTATGAGCTTCGCACTCTTTGCGTGCGCGCATGCTCTCCGCACTATTGTGCGGCTCCTCTTCCCTGCTCTGCGCACACAACCACACCAACCACATCATCTGCGCAGGTTTCACGTGGCTCCCCCATGCGCTGCGCACGCAATCGCACCATCTGCGCACGCACACGGTTTTCATGTGCGCAATACACACAGGCAAACACTGTCTCTCGCACGAATGTGCAAACGTGCATACATGCGCAGTAGAGCTCCGAAGGCCAGCTGGGTCCCCCAAATTGCGTGCACGCGCACCAGAGGCCCGAACACCAGCTGGGGGAGCGTGCACATGCACGACTGCAGGTGAATGGGGCGACAGCTCGCGTGCCCAGAAAGATGGCTCTCCATGCCACCTTGGGCACGCGTGCCATAGGTTCACCATCACAGGACTAGAAGATTGCCAAGGTCTCTTTCAATCGTTATTCTCTTCAAATGTCAACCTCTTCTTTCTATCCTTGTACTCCATGAATACTCAGAAAAACTGAAGTCCCGTCTACCATCACAATCCTTTTTCCAATCTAAGTAGAAATGGTTTGGCGTCAATTGGTAGATCTGCAACGAGGGTATTTCCATTCTCTTGAACCCTGATTTTTTTTCACTGTAGAGGCAAGGGACTAAACCCGGAATTTCCCTTTATGCAAAATGCATGCTTTACTACCGAACTGTACACATTCCTACTATCTTGTCTGTGGAGTTTGCGAGGATTCTGCACCCTCCGGAATAAATTAAAAGCACTGTGCGCAGGCAAATGTGGTTTGTGCCGTCAGCCTCTACACGGCTGCCAGATCACTGTCATCAGCCAAGCATCTCTAATTCAGAAATTTCCAACACATAACTCAGGTTGTTCCTTTTGCCTCGCTTAGCATTTTGCTTGGAACAAAAAAAATAAAAAAGGAAAAGCTAGGGCAACAGAATTATGAATGTTCGGCACCATTCTGGAAGTCCTCATCTATCTATTCCAAACCAAACTGAAAAGAGAAGAGAGTAAAAGGGAAAAAGCAAAACAAAAGGCCCTCAAATGAAGGTTAAGTCTATGTACACAGGTAGTCCTCGACTTACAACCGCAACTGAGCTGAATATGTGTTGCTAAGCAAAGCATTGGTTCAGTGAATTTTGCCCATTTTACAAGCTTCCTTGCCACAGTTAAGTGAATCGCTGCAATGATTAAGTTAGTGACACGGTTGTTAAGTTTAGTTTAGTTTAGTTTAGTTTAGTTTATTTGATTTGTATACCGCCCTACTCCCGAAGGACTCAGGGCGGTGAACAGCCAACAATAAAATACATAAATACACTAAATTTAAAAACCCGATAAAATCAAATTAAATTATTTGGCCCAGACAAATTAAAATACCCCAATAATTTAAAAACAGATTAAAATTTACATATTTAAAAAGGGAAGAGATTAGGCCAAGCCCGCTTGATGGAATAAAAAGGTCTTCATAGCACGGCGGAAAGAGCGCAGATCCAGGATCCTCCGTATCTCCGGGGGGAGCTCATTCCAGATGGTAGGTGCCCCCACAGAGAAGGCTCTCCCCCTAGGGGGAGAAGTGAAGTGAATCCGGCTTCTCTCTTTGACTTTGCTTGTCAGGAGGTCGCAAAAGGGGATCATGTAACCCTGGGTTTCTACAACCCGTCACAAATACGAGCCAGTTGCCAAGCATCCAAATTTTGATCACGTGAATATAAATATGAGCAGTCATAAGCCACTTTTTTTCAATGCTGTTGTAACTTCGAACTGGTCAATAAATGGACTGTTGTAAGTCGAGGACTACTTGCACAGTCAATATAAATAAATGTCACAGGCCTTGTGAAATCTAAAACTAGGAAAAAAAAGACACTGATTTTTTTCCAGACTAGGCAAGCTCTGTTAGGTATCAACACAATGCTAGGTTTGCTGTGATTGTCGGAGCTCCTCATTTTGTGTGTTCCACAAAAGGAGGCTTTTTTGGGGGGGGGGGTGTTTGGAAGAAAACAGCCTTCAAAATACAATACCTTCAAAATTTTTATCTCCTTCCCAAGCAGGAGCTGCGACTTCGACAAGTTCTTTTTGTTAATGCTCTTTATAGCCACTTCCCAGTCCGTTTTCTGGAAAAGAGGATGGAGAAAATGTTTTAAGTACAAGCACATTTTCTTATTTTGTAAACAGTCACGAGAAGCAAGCAGATCTGGTCTCTTACCCTCCCCTCCTTTTTTTTTCTTAAAAGCTTTAAGATGATTAAGATTCCTGGAAGAAGCACTGAGTCCTCTTTTTTTTAACCTGGTCTAACAGCTTTCCCAACTCCTAATTACAACTGCCAACACTCCCCCCCTTAGGACAGTTTAAAGTGGCTAGGGAATTCTGGGAGTTGAAGTCCACAAGTCTTAAAGTTGCCAAGGTTGGACACCCCTAGTCTAAAGCCTTAGGAGAAGATGTCAAGTTGCAAACAGCTGGTATAAAGAGGACAATTTACAATCAGGACCCACAGGACCAAACCCTTCCAGTGTGCAACTTAAGCAGGTTTTGCATGTTCCAAAGACAAGAATGGGGGGGGGGGCACAATAACAGGGATGTAGGGATGAGAGGAAAACTCACAATTTTCTCCTTCTAGCCTTGCCCTTTTTAGGGTCAAGGCAATCAGCTTCAGCACACTCTAAACTCACATTCAACTGATTAACAGACAAGATCAGGGACCTCCTACTGTGTTAGATCAGTCAAGCAATAGTACCTTTCAAGAGACCTCCAGACCATTCCCTTATCTTGAACAGAGTGCCCCAGAAGCTCCCTGTCCCAGTAAGATTGCAGGTGCCCAAAAGGAATCACACACACACACACACACACACACACACACACACACACAGGGAGAGGGAGGGAGGGAGGAGGGAGAGAGAGAGAGAGGGAGGGAGGGAGAAAAATCCCAAATTGTTCAAAGTTATCCAACAAAAAAAAAAAAAAACATTTGTGAAGATCCAAAAATATCTGTTAAGTCAAGCTAGTAAATTCACAGAAAGATCTCTGAGGGACAGCTTGGCCCCTGCAGTTAGGCAGGCAGAATTATTATTGATTAAATTTGCCAATCTTGCCATGGGGCTGCTCCAGGCAGCTTACAATAATAATAAGGAAGAAAACCCGAAAGGAATGTAAACAGAATAGAAGTAAAATAGAACCATAAAATAAACAATGAAAAAGGGACACAAGGAGAACACACATCAACACGATAACCAAGAAACAAAACACACCCAACACCAAGAGCTTCTTGCAAAAGAAGGCAAGAAAAGACGGAATCCTCGTCAGAATTCGAGGACCCATTTGAAATCAGGCAATCGGATGGCTCCCTGGATCCTGGCAGGAAAAGCAACTCAAGAAAAAGGAGATTGTGTTTGTGGGGGTTTGCTCCCCCTCCCCTCCAACCACAAATAAAATAGCTACCATCTATTTACACAAGCTCGAAACTTCATTCAAACCTTTGGACAGAAGGTTGGGCAGCCCGCTGGCAAAACCCACGACTCCCAACTACAAAACCCACAATCCTGTAAACCCCCAGCCTCCTTTTTTTTAATTAAAAGAGGGCAGGTTTGCCATTGGGGTGGACGAGAGAGGAGAAAAGGTTGGGAGGCAATCCGAGGCTGACATCATCCCATCCTGAGTCTGCTGGGGGAAGGAAAACAAGGTTGGCAAGCCCAGAAGCGGGCAGCGGTGCCCACCCACCCACCCCCAAAAAAAAACAGGGAGGGGGGGAAGGGGAAGGAAAACCAACAATTTTGGTGATAATACACCCAGCTTTTAAAAATATACACCACTTTCCGGTCCAGGGGTTTACCAAACCTCAGAAACCTAGAGAAGCAGAGAAAAAGGGCAGCTAAGGAGAAAGGCTTCCCAGGTAAATTGGGGGGTGGTGGAAAAAAGCACAGGAGCCAACTTCAACCCTATATATATATATATATTTTAAATTTGATTTATATGCCGCCCTTTTCCGGAGACTCAGGGCGGCTTGCAATGCGTTAAGCAATAGCCTTCATACTTTTGTATATTTATACAAAGTCAGCTTATTGCCCCCACAATCTGGGTCCTCATTTAACCTACTTTAGAAAGGATGGAAGGCTGAGTCAACCTTGAGCCTGGTGAGATTCGAACCTGCAGAAATTGCAGGCAGCTGTGTTAATGACAGGGTGCATTAAACCACTGTACTACCAAGGCTCCTTGGTATATTCCCCTTCCTTCCCAAATCTGGCAGCCCTGTAAGCCCCCCCACCCCAGCCCACCTTCTCCAACCATCACCCTAGGACCCGAGACCCTAATTCTCTCCCTTCGCCCACCCGTCCACCCCCCGTACCTTGCGGTGCCGACCCTTAAAGACCACGGCGAAAGCTCCATGCCCGATCAGGTCTTTTTTGCTGTATTCAAAATCCCCCACCACCTCCATGTTCTTCAGGGGGGCATGAAGCTTGAGGGGTGGGGTGGGGACAACGGCAGGGAGGAGGACAAGGAGAAAGGGAAGGACAAGCCGAAGCTCACATCAGCAGGCTGGGGGAGGAGAGGCTAGGAGAGGGGGGGCTGGCTCTGCCTGCGTCCTGGGCCCCCCCAATGCAAGGGGGCACCTGCTGGCATGACGCTGCTGCTGACCTGGGGAGGGTGGCTGGGGGGCACCGGCCAGCTTCCCATAGGCGGTGGGTGTTTTCTGGCATGGGGGGGTCGGTGGATGGTGGAGAAGCGGGGTGGGTGAATGGGAAGCCTCTTTGGGAAAGAAAAGATGCAGAAAAAGCCCCAGAGGTTTAAAGAAGCGGCCCTTTCATATAGCCAAGCATTTGAGGTTAATGCCAAAATTGGTAAAAAATCTTTAGAATTGGGGAACGGGGGGGGATTAAGCCCCTTTAGAAAAGCCCACCTTGTCTTTTTTCCTTTAAAAAAAAGAATGGGATTTACAGGTGGGGAAGAACATAAAAAGCCATAAAGGAGCAAAAAAGCAGGTTGTCATTCAAAGCCCCCTTTTAAAACGAGGGTTTTTTTGGGGGGGGTCGTCCCTGGCAGTTATGATAATGCTTGAAGGGGGGGAAGGAATAAAAAAAGGGGGGGCAATGACAGTTGCCCCGGGGGGGGGGGGGAGAGAAAGAAACAGGATAGATAAGAGGGGAAAAAAACCCCGTTAATACAGGAAAGATTAAGATAAAGGGAGGGGAGAAAGGATTATTATTATTATTATTTTTCTCCCTTGCTTTTGCGATGCCAGGGAGGCGATAGAAGGGAATCAGAATCGCTTTGGAAGGGTGGAAGGAGATTAAAATCTTCCCCACCCCCCCAAGAACGAGGTCTGGCCTGAGAATTAAAGCGGGGAGTGGGTGAGGGAATTCACCCCCCAGGGGTCCCTGCCCATCGCTCTCTTACATCCTTGTCCCTCCACCCCAACTCTGCCCAGGCTTAAAAGAAGGGGAGGGGGGGCAGGCGGCCCTTCCTCGCAGAAGCGGCCGGAGAGAAGAGGTTTGAAAACGAGGGTTGGGTGAGGGGGGGGGAAAGGGTCTTTGCAGGGGGGAAAGGGGTCCTCCGCTTTAGGCCGCTGCCGCCCCTCGCGTCCTCCGAGCGCCGTAATCCAAGACCTTCCCACACCGGCGTCCGGCCGCGACTGGCGAAACTTCCGCGCGGCGCAGCTATTTATATAGGACGTCGCGCGCAGGCGCTTTTTTTTCGGTCTCCCTCCGCCGGGGGAAAAAAAAAAACAAGAGTGGGCGGGGCAAAGCGGGCGTGAGGGGGGAAAAAAAAAAAGAGTCCGCGCGCGGGAAAATTTGAGGGCGAAAAGTTGCCCAAATGTGGGGGGGAGGGGAATGGCTGTGGGAGCCCTCTTTGATATTGATTAAAAAAAGAAAATTAAAATTAAAATAATAAGCCGTTAGAAGGTAGACGTAGACACCCGCACCTAAATCAAAAGGATTCTAAAGGAACTTCCGCAGCCAAAATGTTGTTCTGAGGCAGAGGTTGGCAGCATTTGGGCTTCTCAAGGAGAGAGACCTCAGTGAGGAGAGGTGGTCAATTTTTTTTTTCCTGGGACTCTGCTCCTCTGGCCAAGTTATTCAGCAGGCCTCTTTTGAGATGTGCCCCACTTACTGCTTTTTAGAAATGGAGCTGTCCTTTTTTAAAATTTTACTGGGCTGAAGTAATATATAGTATAATCTGTCTAGGTTCTTTTAAAAAAAAAACATGCAGGTTCAGCCTATTCATGCCTCATGGCTTTTCTAGGGTTCAAAGGTGTAGGGAATTAGGAACTTGATTTAAATTTATTTTATCCATATATTATTTATGTAACCAGAGTAGCCTACTCTGCAGGGGTGTTGTGTGTAAATACAAATATAGGTAGTTCTCTACTTACGACAATTGACCTCAACATTTCTGTTGCTAAGTGAGGCAGTCACTGAGTAAATTTTGCCCCATTTTATGACTTTTCTTGCCAAGGTTAAGCCAATCAATGCCTTACAGGTGGTCATCAAGTTATGACCACAAATGAGCCCAACATTTTGGTTGCTAAGTGAAACATTTGTAAAGTGAGTCTTGCCCCATTTTACGACTTTTCTTGCCACAATCGTTAAGTGAATCATTGCATTTGTTAAGTTAGTGACACGGTTGTTAAGTGAATCTGGCTTTCCCATTGACTTTGCTTGTCAGGTTGCAAAAGCAGATCACGCGACCCCAGGACACTGCAACTGTCATAAATATGAATCAGTTGCCAAGCATCTGAATTTTGATCATGTGACATGGGGATGGTGCAATGGTCGTAAGTATGAAAAACGATCGTTAAGTCACTTTTTCAGTGCCGTTGTAACTTTGAACGGTCACTAAATGAACTTTGTAAGTTGAGGACTACCTATATTATGGTAGTAATACGGTTGTTGAATGAATCAGGCTTCCCCATTGACTTTGCCTGACAAGGTCACAAAAAAGGATCACTGGGACTTCAACCGTCATAAATATGATCTGTCCTGAGGTCACGTGATCCCATTTTGCGACCTTCTGACAAGCAAAGTCAATGGGGTAGCCAGATTCACTTAACAACCGTGTGACTAATTTAAGAACGGCAGTGATTCACCTAACAACTGTGGCAAGAAAGGTTGCAAAATGGGGCAAAAGTCACTTAATGAATGTCTCACTTAACAACAGAAATGTTGGGCTCCATTGTGGTCTTAAACCAGGAGTACCTGTATGCTAATCCATAAATCCTGATAAACCACAAATGTGTTTACAAATCTCAACCCAATAAAGCTCATTTCTGAAATTTGGGAATATTACGGTGTCGGGTTTCATTAACTCCCAGAATTCCCCAATCAGCTTCTAGGGATTAAAGTGAATTCTGGGAGTTGAAGTCCACACATGCCCAGTTTGAGAAACACTGCAATAAAGCATAGTATGGTTGGATGCCATATTAAAAAAAAGGCTTAGCATCTGCTTTTTAGGATGTAATAAATGTAAAAATAATGCACGTATTGCTCAGATGGGTGCCCTCAAATCAATGATGGAGTATGCGCCTTTTTGCTGTGAATTTTTTAATCTCATTGCACACATACAAAATTCTCCCCACTTCCTTATGATCCAAAAATAAACCCAGGAGCTCCTAATCCTAATTTCCTCCCTTGTTTTAATTTTGTGGTGCTATCTCATTGCAATGGTTAACAGATGTTGGAAGAAATGTCCATCTGGGTTCAGTTCCAAATGGGAAGACAGACATTAAAAACATGGAGGCTGATTGGAAAGTTGGTTTAATGGTGGACAGGACTAAATGGGTTTGAGGTCCTGAGCAAAAAAAGGCACATGAGAGAGAGAGATTTATACCCTCTCTTGAGCCCCGCTTTGGAGCTTCCTGTTCCTGTGTAAGAAATGTATTCTGATTGGTTGTCAGACTGCCATGGAGCCATGCAGGGTTAACTTTGTAGGTTGTCAGACTCCGAGGCTTGGTTGATTCTTGCTGGGTGATGATGTAATGAAGGGGCTTTGGGCAATTCCTATTATGGCTTAATGGCTTTGTCCTGGTTTGAATCTTGAGGGAGGGCTAATCCTACCATCCTGGAGTGGAAGGACTTTTGTCTTGTAGATAAGATGGCACCAAAATATCTGCGGCGGCCGAGTTTCTGTGTCCCTTAAGATTTCTATTTCTCTTTTAGGGGAAATATTCTTGCCTTTTTAATATTTCCTAGAGTATTTCATTCTTTTAGGACAGGGGTGGGTGGTAACTTCTTACACAGGTAAAGAATACAATGAGACACATTTCAGATGTTTGGCTTGCAGCAATGACCTGGCACGACAGCAATTTTGGCGAATACATCACGAGACCTTAGATCCAGTAAGGTGAAAATTTAAACAGTTAGATTTTTAAACAAATCCTCTGAAAAGCTCAAAACAAATGAACTTTTTAGTGAAACGTGTGAAGTAAGGTATTAATTGCCATTTAGCAGCCTGAATGCTCCAACACCGGAAGTTTTTAAGAAGAGATTAGACCACCATTTTTCTGAAACGGTATAGGGTTTTCTCCCTGAACAGGGGGCTGGACTAGAAGACCTCCAAGGTCCCTTCCGACTCTTGTTATTCTGTTCTGTTCTGCCTTTTAATGGTCTCCCGTTCAATTACCAATCAAATCACACTTTGCTGCCTGCTGTTTGAGGCTATTGATCCAAAGGAGCAGATGGGTTTTTATTTAAGAGGCCTAGAACATTTATTTTGCTTTTATGAAATAAATACATTTATTTGATCATAGGGTTATGATTACCGAAAAGAGGCCATTTGCTTAAATGGCTTTAAAAAAAAGGACAAAAACTCCTGGAGCCAGGAAGCAAAATCTATGAATGACTATTACTGGTGTAAAATATTTATCTGCTACTTCTTCACGGCTCCTGACCTCCGAGGCAGCTTCAGAGATGACAAGGATAATATTAATCAGGAACAAAAGGTACCTTTTGATAAAGACTTTTGCGGGGCCTTAAAAAGATTTAAGTTATTTTGAGACGCCAAATTTACCCTGCCGTGAAACTTAAAAATTAAAATAGTTTTTGCTGTGGCAAGCAATGGCAGCTATCCTTTCGACATCTTAATATTTCAAGGGTGAGTTACTCATAGGGCACAGCTAAGGGTGGGCTGCTAGGGGTTCGGGAGAACCTCTAGCTAAGATTCGGTGCAGTTTGGAGAACCCCCAAATCCCATTTCTGGCTGGCCCCGCCCACCCCGCCATTCCCCTCCCAGGAGTCCCCACGCGGCCTGTTTTGGATCCAGGTAAGCGCAGGGCACGTACAGAGGCTCAGGGAGGGTGAGCTAACGTATTAAAAGATGAACGACTAAAGATATTGCATTAACCGAACCCCATTTCAATGGATGGGGAGATCAGGGGACGCTAAGTGGAGCCTCCAAGTTCAGGAGCAGTCTAGCAAGCAGCAAGTGAACGACAGCAAGGGACGAATAAGGGTCAATAAGAGAATCAATCAGATCCCCCAAAACATTTCTGAACATTTTAGCCAATGCTTACACATTTTAGTGATTCCTTCAATTCTCAGCGCTTCCCTTCTCTGTTTTCTCAGATGTCTTTGCATTGTGAGGAAGGGCAGTTTTATTGCAGAGGGCTACTTTAAAAAGCTGTATCTTGGTAGTCCTCCAGTTACGGCCATTCGCTTAGCGACCGTTCAAAGTTATGACGGACCTCCCAAAAGCTACAGTGCTTACAGGTAGTCCTCAACCGACAACCAGAATTGAGCTCAAAATGTCTGTCGCTAAGTGAGTTTTGCCCCATTTAAAAACATTTATTGCCACAGTTGTTAAGTGAATCATTGTCGTTGTTAAGAAAGTAACACAGTTGTTAAGTGAATCTGGCTTTGCTTGTCAGGTCGCAAAAGGGGATCACATGACCCCGGGATGCTGTGACCGTCATAAATATCTGAATTTTGATCACTTGGGATGCTGCAATGATCATAACTGTGAAAAATAACCATAAGCCACTTTTTTTCAGTCTTCTTCTTGTATCTACCGTCACTAAATGAATGGTTGTAACTTGAGAACTACTTCTATACAACTTTCCTCCTCACAATGCAAGAGAAACCACTGGATGGGGAAAGAACAAAAATAACGAATCACATCATGCTAAACCACCGGGCTGCTTGATAGCAGAGTTAGTCCACCCCGATTTTGGAACATTAAGCGAGAACTATCCTGGCAATTTTCTTTTATCACCGTAAAACATTTTGATTTAAAAACTGGAGACACGATTTCTAAAAGGATATAATGAAGAAATACCATCCGCAAAATAAAAATAAAAATTGCAGCACTGATCTAGTAGTCCCGTCTTCTAAGGAGCTCCAGATTTCCTGCCAGCCTCCATCCTTTTTTTTGGCCGACTCCATTCCATCTTTGCTTCTTCGTTTTACTGAACGTTTAGTCAAAATTGTGGCTGCTTTTGTGCTGTATCTTCAGTCCACTCTGAATTTTTTTCTGTTTGTTTTTCAGTCTTCCTAGATAATATATATATTTTAAAGTGGTCGAAATATTTAAATTCAGCCATGCCTGCTGATACCTTTATTTCATTTCTTGAGAGTCCCAATTCCTTCTATACTCACTTCAGTTTGCTATTCGAGGGAATGACATAATTATATCCATCTTACTGACAGGAGTCCAAAGCAAAGGAATGATGGCTTATTTGTGACCAGCATAGTTCCTGCTTATGCTGTAGCATCCATGTTGATAGTAACATGAAAATATTCAATATATTTTTCTAGTGTTCGATATATATAAGGAAATCGTCTGCCAAGTATTCTGTACAATGGCCCCATTCTCAAACCCCCAAATCTTCCCTAAAACAGGAGGAGGAGTAGACCATAGTTAGCGCCAGAAAATAATTTTCCTTTCGCCAGTCCTTCCGCTATCGTCTCCATCTGTTGGAAAGAGGAAAAAAAAATGCTTTGACAACTTGGCCTTGAAGTCCACGCGTTTGAAAACTGCCAAAGGTTGAGAAACATTGAATTAGAGTAAAATGTTTTGTTCTAAAGATTTATATGGGGTCTTTATTTTATTTTATTTTATTTTATCATATTTGTATACCGCCCTACTCCCGGAGGACTCAGGGCAGTGAACAGCCAAGATAAAAATACAAAGAAACATACAAAAGTTAAAAACTATTAAAAATTCTCTCTGAGCTTGGTTGTTTTTTTCCCAACTAGGGAAAAACTACCAACTACCTAGTTGTTTTTACCCAACTAGGTAGTATAATCAGTACAAGAAGGGAGTGGGGTTTGTGGAGGGAAGAGGAGGAGGAGGAGGACAAAGAGGAGGAGGAAGAGGAGGAAGAAGGAGGTGGAAAAGAGGAGGAAAAGGAGAAAGAGGAAGAGGAGGAAGAAAACTGACAACTGTAGGGTGCTGCTCTCTAAGCTTGGTGATTTTCTCGCAGACATTTCCTTACCCAACTACATACAGTACTGGCCAAAATTGTGGAAAAGTGTATTTTCTAAAACTAGCTAATAACACCACTTTTTTTTTTTTGCAGGAGTACCATAAAATTATATATCAATGGAAAGATAATTTAACCAAGAATGTAATGCAATAACTTTTATGAAGCATTTGCTATTAGAATAGCAGTTACAGTATAAAGAAGAAAAGTGAAACATGTAGAAAAAACGAGGATCTGCAAAAATGATCGCCATAGAAAAAAAAACGAGATATACAAAAATGATCCCCATGTCAGTTGATCCTTAAATTGGGTGACCTTATGACATCTTCCCATGGAGTGAACCAAGTCTTTTAGTTCTGCAGCTGTTATCATGTGAAACCAAGATCGAAGGATGGCTTCTATTAACTGGGTTTTGTTGCTGGGTCGCTTCTGACTAACAAGTTCCTTTAGTCGGCTCCCTAGATTTTCCATTGGATGAAGGTCTGGGTTATTCCCAGGCCATTCCAGCAGTGGAATAGGATTATGTTGAAACTCCAAAATAATAAATAAAAAAGTGGTGTGATTAGCCATCAAACCTCAAAAACACATTTTCCCCAAAAGGTTTCCACAATTTTGGCCACAAGTGTAACATCATCAGTACTAGAAGGAAGTAGAATTTCCTCTCTGTTTATGTTCAAGCCGCTTGCCCAGTCACTGTTGGCGGGACTGTTCTTGTCGGTTCCTTATTTAGGCTGCTGCTTACTGTTTAGTTGTTTGGCTGGGTGTGGTGGTTCCTTGATTGGGGTACTGCACTGACAGGGCAAGCTACTTGTATATAAAAAAAGAGAATGCAAACCCTCCACCCTTCTAGCATTGATGATGTTCTCTAGTTGGGTAATGAAACGTCTGCAAGAAAACAACCCAGATTAGGGAGCCACAAGGACCTCATAGCTTTCCTCCTCCCCATTCTCCTTCTTCTTTCTCCTCCTCCCCTTGTCTTTCTCCTCTTCTCCACAACCCCTCTATTCTAGCACTGATGACATCACCTAATTGGGTAATAAAATGTCTGCAAAAAAACTGCCACCAAGCTCAGAAATTGCCTGGGGACCCACAATTCCCCTCCTCCTCCTGCTTGGACCCCAAAGTTCAACCCCCGAGCTACAAATATTCTCTTCTATTGGTACATATTTATATTGTATAAAGTATTTTTAAAATAGATTAGGCAGGAGAGAGAGAGAGAGAGAGTAACGACAGAAACTAACTGTGTATTAAGAGTCAATTGGATCAGTGGCTATAGAAACGGAATAAAAAAAAACACGTGCATACAACATGTATGCATGTCATTACGTTTACATACAATTACATGTATGTGTTGTGACTCCGGCTCCCGAGCCTGTCCTCACGGAGGAAGATGACTCTGAAAGTGATGGGGAGGAACTGACAAGGCCTCCCTCTCCAGGACCCTCCTCTCTGGCAACGCCTCAGGCTCCAGCTGAAGGCCAGGAGGAAGGGATGTCGGAGCACCTACTAATAGGGAGTGATGAAGATCAGTCTTGGATTGATCCCAGGCAGCGTCGGAGGGAGAGGCGTGCGCAGCAAAGGAAGAGGTGGGGAAGGGCCAGAGATTGCTGAATCACTGAGCCATGCCTCACGGGGGATAAAAATGGGTGGGGTTGTTCTGTGACGGACAAAAACTGCATATCGTGAGCTTCGGATGGGATATCTTTCGGAATTAAGGCTTGGACTTTGTGAATGACTTCTGACTACTCTTTTGTGCCTTGTGAACTCTTGGTTGCCCCAGCAACAGACTACAGATACGCTGACTCCTGTTTCTAGAAGTGATAAGAAACTTGGCAGGCATTCGGAAAGTAGCTGCCAGAACTTTTATCTGCCAAAGGATTCAGGTCGGCTTGTAAAAATAAATTACTGGTAGACGTCTTTTGCTCGTGTGTCTGCCTAGGTGAGGTGGGGGGACAGAACAGTATGCATGTACATGTAACCCTGCAGCCAAGATATTAAAAGACACTTGCTCCTGAGGAGGAAAGCTATGGCAAATCTAGACTGCTTACTAAAAAGCAGAGACATCACCCTGCCAACAAAAGTGCGTATAGTCAAGGCGATGGTTTTCCCAGTTGCAATGGATGGCTGTGAAAGTTGGACCATAAGGAAGGCTGAGTGCCGAAGAATGGAGGCCTTTGAACTCTGGTGCTGGAGAAGACTCCTGTGAGCCCCTTGGACTGCAAGGTGATCCAACTAGTCAGTCCTAGAGGAGATCAACCCTGACTGCTCTTTAGAAGGCCAGATCCTGAAGAGGAAACTCAAATACTTTAACCACCTAATGAGAAGGAAGGAAGGAGAAGAGCCTAATGCTGGGAACAATTGATGGCAAAAAAAGAAGAGGATGGCAGAGAACGAGGTGACTGGATGGAGCCACTGAAGCAGTCAGCGTAAGCTTAAATGGACTCCAGAGGATGATAGAGGATATTTGAGCCTGACCATCTTAATAAAACAAGACAGAGGAAGGGGGTGGGGGGAAGCTTACATCCGGAGACATTTGTCCTTCCCTCCACTTGCTACTCGTTGGCCATCGGGACTCCAGTCTACCGCAAACACCTGGAAAGGAATATATCACAAAAGCCAATCAACAACTACAGTGAAGAAGTTGAAACAACTTTAAGCTGAGCCCCTCCTACCAAATAAGGGAGAAAACAGAAATATGTTTCTCAGGGATCGTGTTTATGGAATTTCAAACCCACCTTGAGGACTAGAAAATTTGTATCGCTCAATAGCTGCTAATTTGCCATCCAGAAAAACAGTCAGCAAAAGAGTGCTTGGTACAATACTACAGTCTATACAATCCTACCCTCACCTGTTGCTCTACAGATCAGTGTTTCTCAACATCAGAAACTTTAGGAAGAGTGGACTTCAAGTCCCAGAATTCCCCAGCCTGCATGATTCGAGATGAATGGACTTCCACTCCCAGAATTCCCCAGCCAGCATGCTTTACGAGGGGTGGACTCCCACCCCTAGAATCCCTGAGCCAACATGCTTTAGGATGGGTGGACTTCCACTCCCAGAATTCCCCAGTCAACATTCTTTAAGAGAGGTGGACTTCAGTTCCCAGAATCCCCCAGCCAATATGCTTTAAAATGGGTGGACTTCAACTCCCAGAATCCCCCAGCCAGCATGCTTTAAGACGGGTGGACTTCAGCTCCCAGAATTCCCTAGCCAGCATGCTTTAAGACAGGTGGACTTCCACTCCCAGAATCCCCCAGCCAATATGCTTTAAAATGGGTGGACTTCAGTTCCCAGAATCCCCCAGCCAATATGCTTTAAAATGGGTGGACTTCAGTTCCCAGAATCCCCCAGCCAACATGCTTTAAGACGGGTGGACTTCAGCTCCCAGAATTCCCTAGCCAGCATGCTTTAAGACAGGTGGACTTCCACTCCCAGAATTCCCCAGCCTGCACGTTTGGATGGGTGGACACCACATATCTAAAGGGAATTCTGGAAGTTGAAGTCCATATACAGTATTTCAAGATTGTTGAGAAACACTGTTCTAGATGACCACAAATATCATCCATCTTATGTCATTGAAGGCTCCCCAAGGCAATCTGAGGAGGGACCAGCCATACCTCATCGGCATGTCCAGGCAGGTCAACGGCCAATTTCTGTGTCTTGGCGTCCCACACTTTGAGGGTGCTGTCGCTGCTTCCGCTGACCAGCAGACGACTGTCGGCCGACCACGCAATCTGGTACACAGCTGAGACGTGTCCCCGCAGGGAGGTGAGATACCTGGGGTTGGAAAAGGCCAGTTACGGTGGGAATTCCCTGCCCCACTCATTTCCCCAAGTCTGTCTCTTTTCCTTTTCTTTTTTTTGCAAAAAGTTTTTTTTCCCCAAACATACAAATTACATCTTTTTGGAACAGAGCTTTGATCCGGTCATCAATTTGTTCAATTTTTTATCATCTTTAACAAAATTTTATATATTTTGCCATAACACTTATTTCTTAATCTTAAATCACATATTTCAACTAATACCATCTTAGAAAAAGTTTACTCATATTTACTTAATCAATATAATTACCCTTCTATTAACCCACCTTAAATCTTAATTCAGTTATAATACATTTCACAATTCTTACCCTAAATCCTCACTATTAACAATACAGTTCAAACAAGTTTATATTCCAAAATTATTTCCATTTCTAAAACTTCCTTACATTTATTAATTACTTCATGTAATGCTCATTAAATCTTTATTCCATTATTACTTTATCAAATTTAAATCTTATCACTAATCTTAAAAATATAGCAATTTAAAAATTAATGTTTAAATGTTAAATTGCTATATTTTTAAGATTAGTGATAAGATTTAAATTTAATACAGTTTCCCAATTATTTCCCTAAATTCTATCTATTTAACCATACCATTTAAATAAACACCAATTAAGTAATTTTTGTTTGTAAATCATAATCATATATTATTTCAATTTTCTTTTCTTTGCTTAAGTGAAAAATGTTCAAATTATTACAATTGTTATAAGTATTTAAACAATATCCCAATTATTATAGCTATCAATTTTCTCAAATGATACCGTCCAACATCTTAATAAAAATTGATACATTATATCCATTGATATATTTTCTTTTTACATAATCTAATTCAACCTTTTCTTTTATCATTCCCGTTATCTTTTTCTTTTCTTACTATTGGTTGTCCTTGTCTTACAACCATTCATTTAGTGACCGTTCAAAGTTACATAATTTGCTTTTTTCAGGCACTGAAAAAAGCAAATTATGACTTTTTTTCACACTTTTGACCAAAGTAGCATCCCCACGGTCACGTGATCAAAACTCAGATGGCTTGGCAAATGGACTCATATTTATGACGGTCGCAGTGTCCCGGGATCCCCTTTTGCGACCTTCCAATGAGCAAAGCCGACGGGCGAAGCCGGATCCACTTAACAACCGTGTTGCTAACTTAACAACGGTAGCGAATTCCTTAACAATCGTGGCGAGAACGGTCGTTAAAACAGGACAAAACTCAAGTGCCAACGGTTCTGCTTAGCAACGGAAATGTGGGGCTCAATTGTCGTAAGTCAAGGACTACCTCTACTGTATGCATCCCTGCTCACAACAGAATTGGAATATGAAAAAGGAAAAAAAAAATCCAAATTGGAGCTGGCATCTCCAATCTTGGTGACTTTTAAGACTTGCGGACTTCAACTCCTATTTATTATTTATTTATTTATTTATTTATTTATTTATTTATTTAGTTAGTTAGTTAGTTAGTTAGTTAGTTAGTTAGTTAGTTAGTTATTTGATTTCTATACCGCCCTACTCCCGAAGGACTCAGGGCGGTGCACAGCCAAACAATAAAACACAAACATACAAAATTTAAAAGTAGAATAAAATCAAATTAAATAATTTGGCTGAGGAATCCTGGGAGCTGAAGTCCACAAGTCTTAAAAGTCACCAAAATTGGAGATCCTTAGACTAGAACATGTCCTGAACAAGAGTCACTCCAAAAACGTCCTCCAGAAAAACCTCACATCTGGATCGATGTGGTCCAGAGGAAGGAAGATTCCAGAATGTTCCAGAACAACCCCACCCCCACCCCCCCGAAAAAAAATTCAACCTACTTCCCGGTCCGTCCATCCCAGAGCTTGATTGACTTGTCGAAGGACGCGCTGGCGATGGTGCGGGTATCAGGGGAAAAGAGGACTTGATTGATTAGCGCTTGATGGCCTGTCATTCTCGTCAATGGCTTCTTATCTTCGGCGGGAAGCCAGAGAAACAAGGTGAAGTCATCCGATCCAGAGACGAGCCTTTCCGGTCCTTGGCCCTGGGGAATGAAAAAGCAAAAATAAATAAATAAATGTGACTTCTGCGTGGAAAAGAGAAGATTTTGAAACAGCCTTGCATTTGGGGTATTTAGCAGCCAGACACAGAACTTGAGCCTTTGGACCTCGCTGCCACAAGAATGTAGTAAAGAGGCCCGAGGTTTCCAGAAAACGCCTCCACGTATATAATTGACTTACAACAATTGAGCCCAATGCTTCTGTTGCTAAGCGAGGCAGTTGTTCAGTGAATCACTGAATTTTACTACCTTTCTCGTCACAGTTGTTAAGTGAATCACTGTGGTCGTTAAGTGAGTCACACAGTCGTTAAGTGAATCCGGCTTCCACCTTTGACTTTGTTTGTCAGAAGGTCGCAAAAGGGGATCACGTGATCCCCCCCCAGGACACTGCAACCGTCATAAATCCGAGTCAGTTGCCAAGCGTCCGAATTTTGATCGTGTGACCATGGGGACGCTGCAACGGTCGTAAGTATGAAAAATAGTCCCATGTTCCTTTTTTCAGTGTTGTTGTAACTTCGAATGGCCACTAAACCAACTGTTGAAAGTTGAGGACCTCCTCAATTTATAACCCAAGCACACAACATGAGCCTTTGGAATTCACTGCCACAAGAGTGTATGTGACCCAATGATTCCAGACTAAATTTAAAACATTTTATTAACACAGTTGGAAAGCATCAGGGTAGGAGCGATGGAAAACATGTTCTCCTATACATCTAGTCCTTGACTTAGAACCATTCATTCAGTCACTTTTCCAAGTTACAACAGCACTAATAAGTGACCTGTGACTGCTCCTCACACTTACGACCGTCACGGCATCTCCATGGTCACGTGATTAAAATTCGGGCGTTTGGCAATCAACATGTATTTATGATGTAAGCAGCATCCCAGGGTCATGTGATCCCCTTCTGAGAGCTTCCCTGTTGTTATCCGCCAGCAGCCTGCGGAGCTGGCAGCGGAGTCGGACAGTGAGGAGGCTGGGCCAGTCCTAGAGTCAGGGGAAGGCCTGGACGAGGGCTCGGCATCAAAGGCAAAGATGGGGCCAGGGCCATCTGGGAGTGATGTGCGGACTCCGGAGCTCCCAGAGTTGGGTAGCAGAGAGGCAGAGGAACAGGAGGAGCCTGTTCCTAGTGTGCGCATGCGCAGAGCTGCTAGAAGGCAAGAGCAGCTAAAGCAAAAGGGGCGACTTGGGAGTAAGGCCAGGAGATGATTGGCCCATCCCATAAGGCTTAAAAGAGAAACAAAGGCACTTGGGCCTTTTTGCAGGAAAGCAACGTTGCTCACTCTGTTTCCAGTCGGCATCTCTTGTTTGTTTCTGAACTTTGTGGGGCTTTGCCAAGTAAGGCCTTTGGCAGGGTTTCAAAGAAGATAAAGGTTGATGATTATCCCGAAGGACTCCTTCCGAAGGACTTTTGTTGCAACTAATTGGGACTCAGCTGGGAATGAACGTAATTCTCAGCTGTTACGATAAAATAGGTTTTTTTGGGACTAATTATGTCTTGTAATGACTTAGTAAGCCTCGGTCACAACATCCCCAACTGACTTCCGGCAAACAAAGTTAATCAGGGAAGTTGGATTCATTTAATGACCGTATGATTCACCCAACAACTTCAGCGATTCACTTAAAACCATCGCAAAAAGGGTTATAAAATAGAATTCCACTCTTCCCAACAGCTGCTTCGTTTAGCAGATGAAGTTCTGGTTTCAATTGTGGTCACAGATCCAGCAGTATCTGTATTGCGAATGGAGACGGGTAGCAAAACGTTACATGGAATATTCTGACTTAAAAGATCCACCCAGCCAGCTAAAATTAAGATTCAAAATCATGAATTTAATTTGAATTTCACTCTCCTTTGCAGCCTTCAGAGAAACAAAACAAAAAACAACAACTCATTTTTAGAAGGAACCTCCAGTGAGATGACAACACAGAAGTTTGCGTGAACTGTGAGCTCCATCTGATAATTTAAAAATTTATTCTATAAATATTGGGTAGCGGCTTATTTTTTTTTTAAAAAAAAAAATTGAAGCATCACGATCAACTATGATTTGATTGCGACAAGCTAGATTCTTGACTGATCACGAAGAACGTCAACTAAAAGTCAAACAATTTTTGGAGACCTCCCCATCTGAAATATCCAATGTCCAATTGCTAAAAAAAAATTATATATATCTGGGAGTCTTACCCTGATTTGATTGTACCTCGATAGTGCGTTTTGCTTGATCTCTGCCACTGTAGGAAAAGCAAAAGGAAAGGAAGGATAAATACGATGTGTGGATGTTACAGGTAGTTAACAACAGTAATTGATTAGAATCAGAATGGCGCTGGAAGGGACCTCGGAGGTCTTCTAGTCCAACCCCCTACTCAAGCAGGAGACTGTATACCATTTCAGATTAGTCACTTCTTAAAAACCTCCAGTGATGGATCACCCACAACTTCTGGTGGCAAGCTGTTCCACTGGTTAATTGTCCTCACCGTTAGGAAGTTTCTCCTTAATTCCAGGTTGCTTCTCTCCTTGATTAAGTTGCCATCCGTTGTTTCTTGTTGTGCCTTCAGGTGCTTTGGAGAATAAGTCGACCCCCTCTTCTTTGGGGCAGCCCCTCCAATCCTGGAATTCTGCCATCATGTCCCCCCTACTCCTTCTTTTCTCTAGACTAGGCTGGCTGGGGGATTCTGGGAGTTGAAGTCCACCCCTCTTAAAGACCCCAAGAGAAACACTGAACAAGGGAACTCAAAAATGCCAGATGCTCTTACGTGATCCGCTCAAATCCTGGGGGTTGATAGAAGCTTTGGCCGGCTCAAACGCTCCTGTCCGGAGGACATAATCCGTGCTGAGGGCCATCGTATTGACCCAGTGGGCGTGGCCCTGCAAGGTGCGGCATAGGATGCCCTGAGGACGACAAAAAAACCCGAGGCATCAATCACTTCCCTTCATTCATTCTGTGGAGAGACCCCCTTCCTCTTGAAAAGATGTTAAGCCCCTTTGACTCATCCCACCAAATGTGGCAATCTGGACTTCCGCAAGGGAGAAGACAGGAAGCACAACCTAGTGGTTAAGGCATCTGGTTAGGAAGCGGGAGAAAGCGGGAATTCTAGTTCTCCTTTAGGCATCAAATCCAGCTGGATGACTATGGGCCAATCACCAGGAGACTGTGAGTTCTAGTTCTGCCTTAGGCATGAAACCCAGCTCAGTAACTATGGGCCAATCACTAGGAGACAGTGAGTTCTAGTCCTGCCTTAGGCATGAAACCCAGCTGGGTAACTATGGACCAATCACCAGGAGACGGTGAGCTCTAGTTCTGCCTTAGGCATGAAACCCAGCTGGGTGACTATGGGCCAATCACCAGGAGACTGTGAGTTCTAGTTCTGCCTTAGGCATGAAACCCAGCTCAGTGACCAAGGGCCAATCACTAGGAGACAGTGAGTTCTAGTTCTGCCTTAGACATGAAACCCAGCTAGGTGACTATGGACCAATTACTAGGAGACAGTGAGTTCTAGTTCTGCCTTAGGCATGAAACCCAGCTGAGTGACTATGGACCAATTACTAGGAGACAGTGAGTTCTAGTTCTTCCTTAGGCATGAAACTCAGCTGGTTGACTATGAGCCAAACACTGGGAGACGGTGAATTCTAGTCCCCACCCCTTTGGCACGGAAGCCAGTGAGTGACTTTGGGCCTGTATTTCTCTCTCAGCCCATCCCACCTTACAGGGTTGTTGTTTGTAGGGAGGAAGGTGTGTTGGATGTATTCACCGCCTTGTGTTATTTGAAAAAAAATACATAAAGGTGGGATACAAACAAATATATAAAATCATAAATGAACAAATTGGTAACTGCGCTGCGTTGCCCAGGATAACGAAACCACGATGGGGACAACATGCAGAGGTGGGAAGATGGAAAAAGAGGTGCCAAGGTATTTTTTAAATTTCATTTATTCAGTCTGTCTGCTGCTGGATTCCCCACGACCGGGCGACTTACGTCCTCGGCCCTCCAGACTTTGATGGTGCGGTCTTGCGAAGAGGAATACAACAAGCCGTCGCCCCCCCAGCGGAGGCAGGTGACCGACTGAGTGTGGCTGGTGAGGATTTTGTCGTAGCGACCGGCCACCGTGTCCCAGATTCGAACGCTGCCATCTTTGGAAGAGCTGGCTAAGTAGCGACACTCGGGATTCCTGAAGGCAGAGTTAAAAAGAGAGAGACAGTGATAATAGAGAGATAGACAGAGAGATAGAGAGATAGATATAGAGATGAGAGATAGAGATGAGAGAGATGAAAGATGAGAGAGATAGAGATGAGAGAGAGATAAGAGAGAGATGATAGAGAGAGATGAGAGATAGAGAGAGATGATAGAGAGAGAGATGACAGAGAGATGACAGAGATAGAGGTGAGAGATAGACAGAGATGATAGATAGATGAGAGAGAGAGAGGGTGAGATGAGAGAGATTATAGATGATAGATAGAGTTAGAGATAGATGAGAGAGAGACAGGGATGAGAGATATAGAGAGAGATGAGAGAGAGAGAGAGATGACAGATAAATACAGAGATGAGATGATAGATAGAGATGATAGAGAGAGTTAGAGATAGATGAGAGACAGGGATGAGAGATATAGAGAGATGAGAGAGACATGAGAGAGAGATGACAGATAGAGGTGAGAGATAGACAGATGACAGATGAGAGAGAGGGGTGAGATGAGAGAGAGATTATAGAGTTAGAGATAGATGAGAGAGAGATGAGAGAGAGAGAGAGATGACAGATAGATACAGAGATGAGAGAGATGATAGACAGAGAGAGAGAGAGATAGATGAGAGACAGGGATGAGAGATATAGAGAGATGAGAGAGAGATGACAGATAGTTAGAGATAGATGAGAGAGAGACAGGGATGAGAGAGATGAGAAAGATGACAGATAGAGAGATAAGAGAGATGATAGATAGACAGAGATGAGAGAGTTAGAGATAGATGAGAGAGAAACAGAGATGAGAGATAGATAGAGAGAGAGAGAGAGAGAGAGAGAGATGAGATGAAATGAGATGAGATGAGATGAGATGAGACAGAGAGAAGTTGTGAAATTTGTCCTAAAAATAACTGAAAACAGGCAAAGGTTCAATAACTCTAACCCACTCTGTGGCAGAAGGAGAAAAAGAAATGGTTGTGGCCTCCATCTTGACTTTTCGGACGATTTTAGGGTGCCGAGTACAGGATTGGGCTTTTCTCCTTTGTACCTTAGGTGGAGGAAATGCAGTTGAAAAACTACAGGAGTGATAGGAAAGAAATGATTGCAGGTCGTCCTCAACTTACAACCACAACCGAGCCCAAAATTTGTGTTGCTAAGTGAGAAATGTGTGAAGTGAACGTTGCCCTCATTTTACGACCTTTCTTGCCCCGTTAGTGAATCATCACAGTTGTAAAATTAGTCACACCGTTGTTGAGTGAATCTGGCTTCCCCCTTCACTTGGCTTTGTCAGAAGGTCGCAAAATGGGATCTCGTGACCCCGGGACACTGCGACCCTCATAAGCAGTGGCTCCGCCCACTCGCTTCTGGGCATGCGCAGAAGCGTTGCGCGCGCAAGAGTGCCCACGAGCAAACCAGTAGCAACAAAATTTGAAAACCCACTACTAATCGTGTTAGGAAATGACTATTTGTCTAACTAGTTGGTCAGGCAATATGTAAACTAACAATGTTAGTTTCTTCTTGCAATACAAGAAGTATTATATTGCTTTAAGGCTGAATTGCATCATCCTGTATCCTGATTGGCTAAGCTCTGTAGCCAATGTACTTAAGGGAAGTCTGAATCATGGCTTGTGTGGACACTACACCATTTTACCTGCTTATTTGCTGTAACTCTCTACCTGATCTCTCTGCATGATCACTGTTTGATCATAGCTACATGTTGCTTTCTACTATTTATTGAATGTTTTGATATTGAACTTGTTCCTGTTTTGAAACTCAAGAAGAACTGTTTTTATTGTGTATGACTACAACTGGTAAGAAGACTTTGTACTTGGAATATCCCTGGATTGATCTTTTAACTCTCGCCTTATCTGTGTTATGACTTGGATTGTTTTTTGGACTTTGCTTTACTTTTTCTTAAAAGTAAAAGACTACTACAACTCAGCGTGTTTGTGTATTAACTGTGATTGTTCACAACCACTCCCAGCCGCTTTCATGAGTATACTCAGAGACTCTGCTCAATAACCCACAACATCGGTTATGAGCTAAGAATATCCTTAACAATAAGTACGAGCCAGTTGCGAAGTGTCTGAATGTAAATCACATGAGCATGGGGATGATGCAACGGTCATTAAGTGTGAAAAACGGTGATAAGTCACTGTTTTCAGTGTCACTGTAACTTTGAACTGTCAATAAACGAACTGTTGTAAGTCGAGGACTACTCACAATGGGGATTTAAGCCAAGATGGTGATTTAAACTAAAACTGTTATTTAAGCCACAATTGCAATTTAAGCCACGATTAGAATTTAAGCCATGACTGTAATTTTTTTTGGGGGGGGGGGGAAAGTTTTTTTAAAAAAAATTTTTAAACACACAAATATACAATACATCTTTTCTGAAGAGAATATCGGCCCGGTTTTAAATTTGTACAAATTTTGTTCGTCTTTAACACAGTTTTTATATGTTCAATTTTTCTCATAGCATTTATTCTCTCTAATTTAAAAAAAAAACCAATATTACCCTTCATCTTAACTTCCCATCCTAATATAATTCAATTTTTCTTTTCCCTCCTTAAATTTAATTTTAAATTCACATAACATAGTACAATCCCCAATTATTTCCTTAAATTCTCTTATTCTAATCACCAATGATTCTTTTATCAACTATTCAAAATAATACAATTCAACGTATTAGCCACGATTGTAATTTAAGCTCCTCTAGTTTAGAAGTGCAGAGTCAGGGAATGGCTATTGCCTAACTGGTTGGGTTGGCAATATATATAAACCATCAATGCATGTTTGCAGTCAAAATGTAATGTATAGCTTTAAGGTTGTAATGCTGTATTGCATCATACTGTATTCTGATTGGCTAGCTCTGTAGCCAACGTACTTAAGAGGAAGCAGGAATTATGGCTTATTTTTCTTATTACATTATTATTGCTACCTCTGCTCCTCTCTGCCTGTTCTCTCTGCATGATCACTGCTTGATCATTGCCACTTGTTGTTTTCTACTGTTTTAATGATTGTTTTACTGCTGTACTTGTTCCTGTTTACAACTCCAAAAAGAACTGTTCTATTGCATATGACTACAACAACGGGTAAGAAGACTTTGTTCTTGGAATATCCCTGGATTGACAATTTAACTATCTTCATCTGTGTATGACCTGGATTGTTTAATGGACTTTGCTTTGTTTTTTCCTAAAAGTAAAAGAATATCACAACTCGGTGTGTCTGTATTGACAGTGCTTATTCACAATCACACTCAGCCGTTTTCTTATGTGCAAAACCTTGCCACTCAAGGATTACTCTGCGCATATTCCTTAACACCAGGGAAGATTGAGGTGGGGGGTGGGGATAGGGGGCTGGAGTGGTGACTTACAAATGCAGAGGTTCCCAGCAGAGCGAAGTGATCCACTTGGAGTGACCCACTAGAGTACGGCCAATCTGGAGCCCGGTGCTTGGATCCCAGAGCATTATCTGCACAGAAGGTACATGGGACACATTAAGAAACACTTTCTCAAAATTATTTATGCGTTTGTGCAGAGGTGCCTAAATTGATTCTGTTTTGATTAAACAGAAAAATATAATTTTGTTTCTGCTTGGAAACCGTTTCTGGACTTTGTGCTCGAGGTGGGGAAAAAAAATGAAACTTTGATTTTGGGTTTTACCGATTAGACAGATTTGTTTGTCAGCGCTTCGACGCTGGCATAGAGAGCAGAGGAGAGAGAGAGATAAGCTCTGAACTTTTGCCTGCTAAATCCCTTTGAAGTTGGGTTGTCATGGAAATGAAGGGGGGGAAAACATTCCTGGGAAATGACGAGACAAGAAGTCTGAAGAATAACTTGGAAGATAGCCAATGAGAAGCAGAGAATTGGGGATCGGAAAGGGAGGGATTGGGGGGCAAAAGGTCAGTCTTGTCCGCATCGAGTCATGATCCGGTGGCTGTGCTCAATTGAAGAAAAGATTTCCTTAAAGATTGGCAGTTTGGAAATTCATTTTATTTTGAGATAGCATCGAAGTCTGACATTGTTGTTATAGAAATGGCTAGTTTATACCACTATGTAAAAGTAAAAAGTTGAGGTAGGGAGGTTACTACGGTATCTTATTCTACTGCACCGAAGGGAGTCGGTAGTCAATGCCTTTTCTTTCTTTTTTCCCTCCTCCCCTTCCACTCTTCCCTTCCCCTTTCCTATTTTTGCTACCATTTGTTTTCGTATTTTTTTGTATTTCATGTTATAAACCAATCAATAAAAGAGAGAGAAAAAAATTGCTTATGTATTTGTATCTTCCCTTTATTATTTTTATAAATAATTCAAGGTGCTGAACATACTTAATACCCCTCCCTCCTCCTATTTTCCCTACAACAACTACTCTATGAGGTGGGTTGAGCTGAGAGAAAGTGACTGGGTGGCCCAAAGTTACCCAGCTGGCTTTCATGCCCAAGGCAGGACTGGAACTCACCGTCTCCTGGTGATTGGCCCAAAGAAACCCAGATGCCTTTCATGCTGAAGACAGGACTAGAACTCACCGTCTCTTAGTGATTGGCGCAAAGTCACCCAGTTAGCATTCATGCCTAAGATGAGACTAGAACTCACTGTCTCCTGGTGATTGGCCCAAAGTCACCCAACTCGTTTTCACGGCTAAGGTGGGACTAGAACTCCCAATCTCCTGGTGATGGGCCAGTCACCGAGCCAGCTTTCAGGCCTAAGGCGGGACTAGAACTCACCGTCTCCTGGTGATTGGCCCAAAGTCACCCAGCCAGCTTTCATGCATAAGGTGGGACTAGAACTCACCGTCTCCTGGTGATTGGCCCAAAGTCACCCAACTCGTTTTCATGGCTAAGGTGGGACTAGAACTCCCAATCTCACGGTGATTGGCCCAAAGTAACCCAGCCAGCTTTCATGCCTAAGGCGGGACTAGAACTCACCGTCTCCTGGTGATTGGCCCAAAGTCACCCAGCCAGCTTTCATGCATAAGGTGGGACTAGAACTCACCGTCTCCTGGTGATTGGCCCAAAGTCACCCAACTCGTTTTCATAGCTAAGGTGGGACTAGAACTCCCAATCTCCTGGTGATTGGGCCAAAGTCACCCAGCTGGCTTTCATGCCTAAAAGCTGTACTAGAACTCACCGTCTCCTGGTTTCTAGCCTGATGCCTTAACCACCAGACCAAAATGGCTACTTTAACTAGCAAAACTGGCAACTTTTAATTTATGTCCTTTCCTGGATCGTGAGGCCCTGCGCTCAGCCACGCGTGGTCATCTGGTCATCTCTTGTTTGGATTACTGCAATGCATCCTACCTGGGGCTACCCTTGGAGAGTATTCAGACGCTACAGCTGGTGCAGAATGCGGCAGTGTGGGCAGCCTAAGCTGCCCCTAGGATGGTGCATATAATACAGCTGTTACCCCACCTGGATTATTTGATCTTTGGTTCTGGGTTCAATTCAAGGTGTCGGTTATCCCCTTTAAGTGACTTTTGCCCTGTTTTATGACCTTTTTTGACCACAACTGTTAAGTATCAATGAGGTTATTAAGTGAATCTTGTGGTCATTAAGCGAATCTGGACCCGCCCACCCCTTGACTTGCTTCTCGGATACCAGCTGGAAAAATCGCCAGTGACAAAGACAGCAAGTGCCATCAGCCAATGCCCAATTTTTGTTCATGTATGCGTGGGAATCAGGGGTGAAATCCAGCAGGTTCTGGCGAACTGGTAGCAGAAATTTTGAGCAGTTCAGAGAACCGGCAAATGCCACCTCTGGCTGGCCCCAGAGTGGGGTGGGAATGGAGTTTTTGCAATATCCTTCCCCTAGGAGTGGGGCGGGAATGGGGATTTTGCAGTATCCTTCCCCTGCCACGCCCACTAAGGCACACCACACCCACCAAGGCACGCCCACAGAACTGGTAGTAAAAATTTTTTTGATTTCACCACTGGTGGGAATGCTTTGACGATTGTAAGCGTGACAACCACCCATAAGTCACTTTTTTCCGTGCCGTTGTAACTTCCAACGGGTGGTTGTAAGTTGAGAACCGCCTGCATATGCTTCTAGTCCTCATGAAGCTCGGAGTTCTCAGAATTGTGTGCTCCACGGGGGTAAGACGGCACACGACCCACCTCAAGGAAACAGAAACAAAGCCGAAACCAGTTTTTACCTGCCCATTCTTACACCCGGATGCCAGTTTTCTTCCGTCGGGCGACCAAGCGATGCTCAGCACCCAATGGCGGTGACCTGTGGAGGTATGAAGAAAAGGAGAGCGACTGGTCCATGAACCCAGAAGATTTCAAAATGCTTATTCTAAAGTCAGTGTTTCTCAACCTTGGGCACTTCAAGACGTGTGGACTTCAACTCCCAGAATTCCCCAGCCAGCATGGCATAGATCCGTGATGGTAAACCTATGGCACGCGTGCCAGAGGTGGCATGCAGATCCCTCTCTGTGGGCACACACGCTGTCGCCAGCTGCTCTTCTGATTCCCGCCAGCTGCTCTTCTGATTTCTTTGTGGGTACCGGAGCACCGGAAAATGGCCCAGAAAAAGGCGAAAAAATACGCCTTTTCAGGCCATTTTTTGGGCTGTTTTTGGCCTGAAAAAGGCCGAAAAACGGCTCCAAAAATGGCCCGAAAACAGCCTGTTTTTTTACCCAATTTGGGCCGTGTTCGGGTCCTCTGGCGCCTGTGAAGACCAGCTGGTCGGCGTGCGCATGCACACGCTTTCCGGTTTGGGCCCTCGGTGCTGAAAAGGTTCGCCATCGCTGGCACAGATCAATGTTTCTCAAACATGGTGTGAAGTTTCCGAAAGATGCCCTAATTAGTTCATGAGCCGTGAGCCGAACTTCAAAAGAAATACAGTCATTTATTAGGAGCACCATTTCGGCAATATTCGGATGCAGTTAGAACTAATGCCACGTAGATTTACGTTCCCCTATGACCCTGTCTCTCCCCTCCTCCTCGGCCATGTTATAAATCACATTCTCCAATTCACCACTTTGGCTGGCTGTGAAACCCAACACCCTCCGACTGATTGCGGTCAGGAAGAATGTATGGAATGCAGCTTCAGTTAGGGAAATCAATCAGCTCCATCAGTTCTCCCTCCCTCCTGCTCATGGCAACTTGAAAACTTTGCAAGTTGACATATGGCCCCTTTTAAGATGGCTGGACATCCACTCCAGCTGGGGAATTCTGGGAGTTGAAGTCCACCCGCCTTTCAGTGGCCAAGACTAGGGAGCAGTGGCCTACACAGTCCCCCTTCCACATATTGAGACTCACCTTTGGCTGTAAAATGCGGGGTCTCCGTGTTCAAGTCCCAGAAGCGGACGGTGGTGTCCCCGGAGCCGCTGGCCAGGTACCTGGGGAGACATAGTCTCATGCTGACAGAGCCAAGGTAAGGCAGTGAGCAAAGGCCCTTCAGGGGTCAAAAAAGTCAAGATGGCAACCGAAGCCCCCGGTGAGCCCTTCAAGGTAGGCCAGACTTTGAAGCTGAAGTCATTAATAAAGATTAATAATATAAGGTAGTTCTCCACTTACAACTAAAAATTCATCCTGAAGTGGATGTGAGGCGTATGTGACGGAGCCCAATTTTGCAAACTTTTTGTCACGGTCGTTAAGTGAGACATCGCATGATTGGTGACCTTCCCCATTGATGTTGCAGGACTCCACAACCATCATACTATTGGACTCTTAACCTTGAACTGGCATTAAACAAATGGTCGTTAAGCGAGGACTATCTGTACTACTTTTATTACAGGTAGTCCTCGACTTACGACCACAACTGAGCCCCAAATGTTGATTGCTAAGCGAGACAGTTGTTAAGTGAGTTTTGCCCCATGTTATGACCTTTCCTGCCTCCGTTGTTCAGCGAATCACTGCAGGTGTTGTTAGGAACAAGGCTGTGAAGTGAATTTGACTTTCCCCATGGACTTTGTCACGTGATCACACAACCCAGGACACTGCGGCCGTCATAAATGTGAGTTTACACACACATACATAAATATATATAGTTATACATAGTTATACAGGTAGTCCTCAACTTACAACAGTTCTTTTAGTGACCATTGAAAGTTAAGGCATTGAAAAATGTGACTTATGACCATTTTTTCACACTCACGTCCATTGCAGCGTTCTGGTGATCATGTGATCAAAATTCAGACGCTTGGTAAGTGACTCCTATTTATGACGGTCGTAATGTCCCGGGGTCACGCCAGGAGTGAAATCCAGCAGGTTCTGAAGAATCGGTAGGGGAAATTTTGAGTAGTTCGGAGAACTGGCAAATGCCACCTCTGGCTGGCCCCAGAGTGGGGAGGGAATGGAGATTTTGCAGTATCCTTCCCCCAAGAGTGGGGAGGGAATGGGGATTTTGCAGTATCCTTCCCCCCAGGAGTGGGGAGGGAATGGGGATTTTGCAGTATCCTTCCCCCAGGAGTGGAGAGGGAATGGAGATTTTGCAATATCCTTCCCCCAAGAGTGGGGAGGGAATGGGGATTTTGCAGTATCCTTCCCCCAAGAGTGGGGAGGGAATGGGGATTTTGCAGTATCCTTCCCCTGAAGTAGGGTGGGAATGGAGATTTTGCAGTATCCTTCCCCCAGAAGTGGAGGGAATGGAGATTTTGCAGTATCTTTCTCCCAGGAGTGGGGTTGGAATGGAGATTTTGCAGTATCCTTCACCCAGGAGTGGGGTGGGAATGGGGATTTTGCAGTATCCTTCCCCTGGAGTAGGGTGGGAATGGAGATTTTGCAGTATCCTTCACCCAGGAGTGGAGAGGGAAAGGAGATTTTGCAGTATCCTTCCCCCAGAGTGGGGAGGGAATGGGGATTTTGCAGTATCCTTCCCCTGGAGTAGGGTGGGAATGGAGATTTTGCAGTATCCTTCCCCCAGAGTGGGTTGGGAATGGAGATTTTGCAGTATCCTTCCCCCAGGAGTGGGGTTGGAATGGAGATTTTGCAATATCCTTCACCCAGCAGTGGAGAAGGATTGGAGATTTTGTAGTATCCTTCACCCAAGAGTGGGGAGGGAATGGGGATTTTGCAGTATCCTTCCCTGCCACGCCCACCAAGCCACGCCCACAGAACCGGTAGTAAAAAAGTTTGGCTTTCCCCACTGGATCACATGATCCCCTTTTTAACGACCTTCCGACAGGCAAAGTCAATAGAGAAGCCAGATTCACTTAACAACCCTGTGACGACCTCAACAACTGCAGGGATTCTCTTTAACACCGGTGGCAAGGAGGGTCGTAAAACAGGACAAAATTCACTCAACAAACGTTTGAGGCAGACGGGGGGAGGCGAGGCTCAATTTAGAGCGGAAAAGCGAAGCCAGCCAAAAACCTGCCGTTTTTGTACGACGGATAGCAAGAGAAAATTTTGGGGTTCCATGGCAGTCGTAAGTCGGGGACACCACCTGGACTTATGTCCACAATTGGGGACGTTAACTCCCTGCCCCTCCGGCCCCTGATCGGCTTACTTCCCGGTGGGGCTGAAGGCCACCGAGATGACGGCCTCGCTGTGGCCCTCCAAGGAGCTGGTGCAGCGGGTCACCGCTCGCACCCGGAACACGGCCTGGGGCTGGTAGACGATCTCGACCACCCGCTCGGTCTCCAGGGTCAGTTCGGCCAGGGTCTTCTGCAGGGAGGCCACGATTTCGGACTCCTGGACGTAGAAGGCCAAGGGGACGGGCTCCTCCTTGGAAGGGAAAAGACGGGGAAGGGGCCGGTCAACGATTGGTCGGCAGCAAGGGGTGAGGCACAGAAGGGAAGGGAAGCTTTATGGTCATTTTTTTTTTTTTTTTACTGTGAGCAGACTGGGGAGGAAGGAAGGTCGCAGGAAGTAGAAGAGAAAGAAGGAAGGATGGAGGAAAGAGAAAGAGAGGAAGGGAAAGGAGAAGGGGAAAGAGAAGGAGGAGGAGGAGGAGAAAGAAAGAAGGAAGGGAGAGGGGGAGGAGGAAGGAGAAAGAGGAAGGGGAAGGAGAAAGAGAAGGAAAAGGAAGGAAGGGAAGAGAAAGGGGGAGAGGGGGAGGAAGGAAGGATGGAGGAAGGAGAAAGAGAGGAAGGGGAAGGAGAAAGAGCAGGAGGAGGAGAAAGAAAGAAGGAAGGAAGAGAGGGGGAGGAGGAAGGAGAAAGAGGAAGGAAAAGGAGAAAGAGAAAGAGAAGGAAAAGGAAGGAAGGGAAGAGAAGAGAAAGGGGGAGAGGGAGGAAGGAAAAAGAAGGAAGGATGGAGGAAAGAGAAAGAGAGGAAGGGAAAGGAGAAGGAGAAGGAGAAAGAGAAGGAGGAGGAGAAAGAAAGAAGGGAGAGGGGGAGGAGGAAGGAGAAAGAGGAAGGCAAAGGAGAAAGAGAAGGAGGAGGAAACGGAAGAAAGGAAGGAAGGGAAGAGAGAGGGGGAGAGGGGGAGGAAGGAGAGGAAGGAGAAAGGAGGAGGAGGGAGGAAGGAAGGTGAGAGAGAGAGGAGGAAGGAAGGATGGAGGAAGGAGAAAGGGGAGAAGGAGGAGGAGAAGGAAGGAAGGAGGGAAGGAAGAAGAGAGGGGGAGGAAGGAGGAGGAGAAGGAAGGAAGGCGAGAGAGGGAGAGAGGGGGAAGAGGAAGGAAGGGGAGAAAGAGAAGGAGAAGGAAGAAGGAAGGAAGGAAGGGAAGAGAGAGGGGGAAAGTGGGAGGAAGGAGAGGAAGGAGAAAGAAGGATAAGGAGGAGGAAGGAAGGAAGGAAGGCGAGAGACAGGGAGGAAGAGGAGGAAGGAAGGAGAAAGGGGAGAAAGAGAAGGAGAAGAAAGGAAGGAAGGAAGGAGGGAAGGAAGGAAAGAAGGAAGGAAGGGAGGGAGCCCCTCCCCCCAATTGTACCTTCTCCAGGAGGGTGTTGCAAACCAACTGAAGCTTTTCCGGGGTGATATCCACGGGGACATCAAACGGGCCCCCAGAACCTCCCCGGATTCATCTTTGAACTGGATCAGGAGCCGCTCGATATCCGCCGTCATTCTGAAACCGTGGAGGACGTCGGCTCTTTGCACTCCGGCCTGGGAACCAAGAGGGGGGAAAAACCAAAACTTCAAGGTAGCCCCCCCCCTCAAAGCATCTACGATTCCCTCCAAGCTCTCCCGGTGCCCCCCCTTCTCTAAATCAACACCCCCTTCCCTCATCCCCAATGTTCAGAGAAGTCTGGTGAGCCGCTGGGAGCAAAAATAGGGAAGAGCCTGGTGGCGCAGCAGACTAATAGCCTGTTATTATCATCCAGCTGCCTGCAATTACTGCAAGTTCGAATCTCGCCAGGCTCAAGGTTGACTCAGCCTTCCATCCTTTCGAGGTAGGTAAAATGAGGACCCGGTTTGTGGGGGCAATAAGCTGACTTTGTATATATATATAAATATTTATATATTTATATAAATATACAAAAGTATGAAGGCTATTGCTTAGCGCATTGTAAGCTGCCCTGAGTCTCCGGAGAAGGGCGGCATATAAATCAAATTAGAAAAAAGAACAAAAAAGAGACTATTAGAACATCTGCTTTCCAGATGAGATCAGAGACATGTGTGTGTATGTCTGTTAGGATATAATAATAATAATAATAATAATAATAATAATAATAATATAATTATTATTATTATTATTATTATTATTATTATTATTATTATTATTATTATTTTATTTCTATACCGCCCTTCTCCCGAAGGACTCAGGGCGGTGTACAGCCAATTTAAAAACACATATGGTTTGAGCCTAACACGTCCAGGCAATATATGTGTTCTGTGACTTTAATATGAATATGTATTGTGTGACTTTAAAGTTTTCCTGCTGATTCATTGTAATGCTGAGTCATGCTGTAATTAGATAATCACTGGTTGTAAACGTATTTAAGAAAGGTATTGTAAAGTATTCAGTTGATGATAAGCTACCATTGTGTGAGGATGCTATCATCGGTTGGATGGATCTGCTACCATCGTGGTTTGTGAACCAGAGTGAGCTTGTTATTCTAACCAACTACTGTTTGTGTGGTAAGAAGATTTTGTATCACTGGACTGATTTAACTGGCAAAGACTTGGAATTTATTTAAAGACTACGAGATTGTTTTTTCACTATGAAGTAAACTTTTGATAAACCAGTTTGGACATCTCTTATTCATTGCTCTCAGCAACATTTCTCTGTGCTCTACACTCTGCTGGTTGGTAACACAACAACAATATCCTTAACAATGTCAAAAAAGTTGAGACTGAGGCAATGAGGCATTTAAAAAGGGGCATAGCTCCTGTCTTGACTTTCTGGTTCTTCCCTCCTTGGGTGGATGCTGAACCTAGATCCTAGAACCGTGATGTTGAACCTGTGGCGCGCGTGCCACAGGTTGTTCTGTCCCCGTCCCACACACACACCAACAGACGTCCAAGAGTTAAAAACCAAACCAGCCGACAAAATCCTTTTCCTTATGATAACGGAACTTGGCAGCAACCTAGTGGCTGCCTGCCAAGAGTTTATTACTTACGAAGAGGAGAGATAACGTCTCCCCACTTCTGATACATCAAAAGAAACAGCTCAATAATTACGGAGTTAATCAAGTCCAGAGATAATCCAGCAAAGTCTATAGCAAAAGTCCGGCAATGCAGAATGGCGTGGAAGTTTTCAGCTTTGTTCGTCACAAGGTTTGACTGGCACCACACTCCCTTTTATACCCTGTGGAGTGTGGTCCAGTGACTCAGCCTAATCTCGGCCAAGCCTTTTCTTCTGTTGCGCGCGCTTATCTCTGCGACGCTGGCGTGGATCCAGCCAAGACTCATTACCCTCATTACTGTCCACCTGTGGCTGCGTGGACATGCTTGGCCCCGGCCCTATCTCTTGCCCTTCGGCGGACACCTAAGGCATTGCCAGAGAGGAGGATCCTGGAGAGGGAGGCCTTGCCAACTCCTCCCCTTCACTCTCGGAGTCCTCTCCTGCCGATGACACAGGCTCAGGTAACGGAGCCACAACACAGGTGGCACACGGAACCATATCTGTGGGCAAATGAGCATTGCCCTAGCTCAGCTGATTTTTGGGTATTCCAGGCCCAATGGAAATCGGGAAATGGGCCATTTCTGGCCTCCAAAGGGCCTCCAGTGTGTGTGTGTGTGGAGGCTGTTTTCGCCCTTCCCAGGCTCCTAGAAAGCCTCTGGCGCCTGGGGAGGGCAAAAAACAGGCCTACTGTAAACTTTTTTGCTGCTGTGTGCCAAAAGGAGGGGGAGCGCAGGGGATCACGTACACATGCGTCGGGGGTGGGGGGGACATTGAATTATGGGTGTGGGTGTGCACGCAAATGACCCCTCCCCCGTACTCCCCCCGTTTTTGGCACACGACGGCAAAATGGTTAGCCATCACTGTCCTAGAACATAGGATAACAGGGTTTGGAAGGGACTTTAGAGGTCTTGTAGTCCAACCCCCTGCTCAAGCAGGAGAGCCTATACCATTTCAGAGAAACGGCTGTCCAGTCTCTTCTTAGAAACCTCCAACGATGGAGCACCCACAGCTTCTGGTGGCCAGCCGTTCCACTGGTTAACAGTCCTCACTGCGAGGAAGTTTCAAGAGGCCACTGGACTTTCTGGTTTTTCTTTGAAGACGCTTCGCTTCTCATCCAAGAAGCTTCTTCAGCTCTGACTTTGTCTTCAAAGAAAAACCAGAAAGTCCAGTGGTCTTTTGAAAAAAAAGAGTACTTTAGGGGCAACCATGTCCTGGATGACGGAGAATTTCCCGTAGACACTTTAAGCTTCTGTGTTTTCTACTTATTATTAATCGAAGCCAATTCGATTTAATTCTGTTTTTAAATTATTTTTAAATTTTATATTGTATGTATTTTAAATTTGGCTGTTCACCGCCCTGAGTCCTTCGGGAGAAGGGCGGTATACAAATTTAAATAATAATAATAATTATTATTATTATACTTGTTTTACTTGGAACAGTTTCCATCCTGCCAAACGAAACCTTGTACACCATCAAACATCCACATCTGCCTATATTCCCAAGGTCCTTGGGAAGGGCTGGCTAGGAGGACTAAAATGCCAAAAATCCAGTCTCAACATCTGGCTGACTGTGCAAGGAACCGTCCTCGTCATAATAAATTACCCGTAGTCCATTGCAACAGGCTGCCTGGCTTGGAATAATTCTGCAACAAGACATATATTATTAAACAAGAACATCTGCCTATCTCAGGTCCTTGGAAAAGACTCGATAGGGGGGATAAAAAAAAGCCAAAATCCAGCCTCAACATCTGGCTGGCTGTGCAAGGAACAGTCCTCATCATAATAAATTACCCGTAGTCCATTGCAATTAAGGCTGCTTGATTTGGAATAATTCTGCAGCAAGACATATATTATTAAAACAAGAATTTCTGCCTATCCCAGGTCCTTGGAAAGGACTCGATAGGGGGATAAAAAATGCAAAATCTTATTGGGTATAGTGAAGGATTTTTCAAGGGGTGAGATAAAATTGATATTATATATGGTGACAGCAGCTAGGTTACTGATTGGTCAATATTGGAAAAGGATGTTTTGCCTACTATTGAAGAATGGACTTTGAAGGTGGCCAGTTTTGCAGAAATGGCGAAGATATCAGCATATTTAAAAGACCGGACTCAAGAGACTTATGCACGGGAGTGGAAGAAATGGATAGATTATGTGCAGAATAAATATCAAACTAGGAAGTACCAGATAGCTTTTAGTTGAATGTTGTGTAGAAATGTATAGTATATAGGGGGTAGAATAGTTCAATGTCATGTAGAAACGTATAGTACACAGGGGTAGAACAGATGGGTGGTAAAGTATGATGACACAATACGATTTGGATTTGGATTTCACCTTGGGGAAGTCATGGGAGGAGGGGAGGGTTAGGGAGGGAAAGGGAGGGGGGAAATGGGGAAAAATTGTATTTGTAAAACTTTTTCAATAAAAAAAAAAAGCCAAAATCCAGTCTCAACATCTGGCTGACTGTGCAAGGAACCGTCCTCGTCATATCCCTTGGGAAGGACTCGATAGGGGGGATAAAAAATGCAAATGCAGCCTGAACATCTGGCTGTTGTGTGAGAGCCACTTGAGCACCATCGGCGTTGACAACATCCCTGTCCGTCAATTGCAAAAGGCAGCTTTGCGTGCAACAGCTGACAATCCTGCAATCCTAATAATAATCCAATATTATTAAAACAAGAATATCTGTCTATCCCAGGTCCTTGGGAAGGACTCGATAGGGGGGATAAAAAATGCCAAATGCAGCCTGAACATCTGGCTGTTGCGCGAGAGCCACTTGAGCACCATCGGCGTTGACAACATCCCTGTCCGTCAATTGCAAAAGGCAGCTTTGCATGCAACAGCTGACAATCCTACCAGGAAACTTTTAATATTATTAAACAAGAATATCTGTCTATCCCAGGTCCTTGGGAAGGACTCGATAGGGGGGATAAAAAATGCCAAATCCAGCCTGAACATCTGGCTGTTGCGCAAGAGCCACTTGAGCACCATCAGCGTTGACAACATCCCTGTCCGTCAATTGCAAAAGGCAGCTTTGTGTGCAACAGCTGACAATCCTGCAGTCCTAATAATAATCCAATATTATTAAAACAAGAACATCTGCCTATCCCAGGTCCTTGGGAAGGACTCGATAGGGGGGATAAAAAATGCCAAATCCAGCCTGAACATCTGGCTGTTGCACGCATGCCACTTGAGCACCATCGGCGTTGACAACATCCCTGTCCGTCAATTGCAAAAGGCAGCTTTGCGTGCAACAGCTGACAATCCTACCAGGAAACTTTTAATATTATTAAAAAAGAATATCTGTCTATCCCAGGTCCTTGGGAAAGACTCGATAGGGGGAATAAAAAATGCCAAATGCAGCCTGAACATCTGGCTGTTGTGTGAGAGCCACTTGAGCACCATCGGCGTTGACAACATCCCTGTCCGTCAATTGCAAAAGACAGCTTTGCGTGCAACAGCTGACAATCCTGCAGTCCTAATAATAATCCAATATTATTAAAACAAGAATATCTGCCTATCCCAGGTCCTTGGGAAGGACTCGATAGGGGGATAAAAATGCCAAATCCAGCCTGAACATCTGTTGGGCGAGAACCACTTGAGCACCATTGGCGTTGACAACATCCCTGTCCGTCAATTGCAAAAGACAGCTTTGCGTGCAACAGCTGACAATCCTACCAGGAAACTTTTAATATTATTAAACAAGAATATCTGTCTATCCCAGGTCCTTGGGAAGGACTCGATAGGGGGGATAAAAAATGCCAAATGCAGCCTGAACATCTGGCTGTTGTGTGAGAGCCACTTGAGCACCATCGGCGTTGACAACATCCCTGTCCGTCAATTGCAAAAGACAGCTTTGCGTGCAACAGCTGACAATCCTGCAGTCCTAATAATAATCCAATATTATTAAAACAAGAATATCTGCCTATCCCAGGTCCTTGGGAAGGACTCGATAGGGGTGATAAAAAATGCCAAATCCAGCCTGAACATCTGTTGGGCGAGAACCACTTGAGCACCATTGGCGTTGACAACATCCCTGTCCGTCAATTGCAAAAGGCAGCTATGCGTGCAACAGCTGACAATCCTACCAGGAAACTTTTAATATTATTAAACAAGAATATCTGTCTATCCCAGGTCCTTGGGAAGGACTCGATAGGGGGATAAAAAATGCCAAATGCAGCCTGAACATCTGGCTGTTGTGAGAGCCACTTGAGCACCATCGGCGTTGACAACATCCCTGTCCGTCAATTGCAAAAGACAGCTTTGCGTGCAACAGCTGACAATCCTGCAGTCCTAATAATAATCCAATATTATTAAAACAAGAATATCTGCCTATCCCAGGTCCTTGGGAAGGACTCGATAGGGGTGATAAAAAATGCCAAATCCAGCCTGAACATCTGTTGGGCGAGAACCACTTGAGCACCATTGGCGTTGACAACATCCCTGTCCGTCAATTGCAAAAGACAGCTTTGCATGCAACAGCTGGCAATCCTACCAGGAAACTTTTAATATTATTAAACAAGAATATCTGTCTATCCCAGGTCCTTGGGAAGGACTCGATAGGGGGGATAAAAATGCCAAATCCAGCCTGAACATCTGTTGGGCGAGAACCACTTGAGCACCATCGGCGTTGACAACATCCCTGTCCGTCAATTGCAAAAGACAGCTTTGCATGCAACAGCTGACAATCCTACCAGGAAACTTTTAATATTATTAAACAAGAATATCTGTCTATCCCAGGTCCTTGGGAAGGACTCGATAGGGGGGATAAAAATGCCAAATCCAGCCTGAACATCTGTTGGGCGAGAACCACTTGAGCACCATCGGCGTTGACAACATCCCTGTCCGTCAATTGCAAAAGACAGCTTTGCGTGCAACAGCTGACAATCCTACCAGGAAACTTTTAATATTATTAAACAAGAATATCTGTCTATCCCAGGTCCTTGGGAAGGACTCGATAGGGGGGATAAAAATGCCAAATCCAGCCTGAACATCTGTTGGGCGAGAACCACTTGAGCACCATCGGCGTTGACAACATCCCTGTCCGTCAATTGCAAAAGACAGCTTTGCATGCAACAGCTGACAATCCTACCAGGAAACTTTTAATATTATTAAACAAGAATATCTGTCTATCCCAGGTCCTTGGGAAGGACTCGATAGGGGGGATAAAAATGCCAAATCCAGCCTGAACATCTGTTGGGCGAGAACCACTTGAGCACCATCGGCGTTGACAACATCCCTGTCCTCAATTGCAAAAGGCAGCTTTGCGTGCAACAGCTGACAATCCTGCAGTCCTAATAATAATCCAATATTATTAAAACAAGAACATCTGCCTATCTCAGGTCCTTGGGAAGGACTCCATAGGGGGGATAAAAAAAATGCCCAAATCCAGCCTGAACGTCTGCCTGACTGGGCGACCAAGCACAACCAGGATGAGAACGAGATGTAGGGGGCAACCCTGAGCTGGGGGTCAGACTAGAAGACCTCTAAGGTCCCTTCCCACTCTTCTGAGTCTGTTGTTGCTTGGGACTGCTGGTCCTTCTCTGCTCCCACCCCCAGGGCCCCAAAGCTCCACCCACCCAGCCACCCTTTCCAAAATACGGGGTGCTGCTGCCTTACCTCCCGCTCCCAACTTTGCAAAAATCACCCCTCCAAACCTGCAGCCGGACCTTTCTGCTCCAACTTGCCTCCACGTGGGAATGGAGGCTCTACGTCATCAGTCCGCGCCGGGCACAGTTCTTACTCGGCTGCCACCTGCTGGAGGAAGAGGGAATCTTCCGCCAGACGCTGGGAAAACTTTAAACGTGAGAACTTTTTTTTCCCTTCCTTCCTTCCTTCCTTCCTTCCTTCTTTCTTTCTTCCTCCCTTTCCTTTTTCTTTCTCCCTTTCCTTTCTTTCTTTCTTTCTCCCTTTCCTTCCTTCCTTTTTCTTTCTCCCTTTCCTTTTTTTTCTTTCCTTTCTTTCTTTCCTTCTTTTTCTCCCTCTCCTTTCTTTTTCTTTCTTTCTCCCTTTCCTTCCTTTCTCCCTTTCCTTTTTTTTTCTCCCTTTCCTTCCTTCCTTTTTTTCTCCCTTTCCTTTTTTTCTTTCCTTTTCCTTTTTCTTTTTCTTTCCTTTTTCTTTTCTTTTTCTTTTTCTTTCCTTTCTTCCTTTCCTTCTTTTTCTCCCTCTCCTTTCTTTTGCTTTCTTTCTCCCTTTCCTTCCTTTCTTTCTTTCTTCCTTTTTTTTCTCCCTTTCCTTCCTTCCTTTCTCCGTTTCCTTTTTCTCCCCTTCCTTCCTTCCTTCTTTCCTTCCTTCCTTCCTTTCTCATCATTATGTTCCAATATTTGAGGGGCTACCTCAGAGAAGAGGGGGTCAATCTATTCTCCAAAGCACCTGAGGGCAGGACAAGAAGCAACGGATGGAAACCAATCAAGGAGAGAAGCAATTTAGAACTAAGGAGAAATTTCCTGACAGTGAGGACAATTAACCAGTGGAACTACTTGCCTCCAGAAGTTGTGGGTGCTTCATCACTGGAGGTTTTTAAGACGAGACTGGACAGCCACCTGTCTGGAATGGTGTAAGGAGACCTCCTCCTGAGGAGCCACTCCTGCCTTTTGGCCGCTCTGCGCGCCGTGCATCGAGAAGGGGCTCCTCCTCTTCTTCCTCTTCACCCATGGAAGCTTCTGGAGGTTCTGAAGGCCCTGGCTGAATCCCCGCCTCTGGCACCACGTCTTCTCCAGCCTCCTCACTGTCCGACTCGAGTGCCAGCTGCACAGGCTGCTGGCGCAGCACCACACAAGCCTCCTCGTGTGACCCCCCCCCGGGACACTGCAACCGTCATAAATATGAACCAAACATCTGAATTTTGATCCTGGGACCGCGGGGATGCTGCAAGTGTAAGAAACGGTGGTAAAGTCACTTTTTTAAAGTGCCGTTGCAACCTTTCAAGAGTCAATAAATGAACTGTTTTAAGTCGAGGACCACGCTGTACTAATTTAAGCAACTGTGATGGTTCATTGAACAACTGTGGCAAGAAAGGTCGTAAAATGGGGCAATCTCACTTAAGGTTTCCACTTCACAACAGAAATTTTGGGCTCAATTGTGGTCGTTGAGTCGAGGACTACCAGTACATTCTCCTTCATTCGTACCCGTTTCCCTGAAAATAAGACCCTGTCTTATATTTTTTTGAACCCCATAATAAGCGCTTGGCCTTATTTTGGCGTGCATGGAGCAAGATGGGATATTCTGCAATATTCGGATGTAGTTAGAACTAATCCCACGTAGATTTATGTTCCCCCATGACCCTGTCTCTCCCCTCCTCCCTAGCCATGTCATAAATCACATTCTCCAATTAACCCCTTTGGCTGGCTGTGAAACCCAACACCCTCCGACTGATTGCGGTAAAAAAGCATCTATGGAATGCAGCTTCAGTTAGGGAAATCGATCAACTCCATCAGTTCTCCCTCCCTCCTGCTTATGGCAACTTGAAAGCTTTGCAAGTAGACAGCCGTCTTACCTGATTTCCAGCTCTGTGTTTAAATATTTTTGGGGGGAGGGCTTATTTTCGGAGGGAGGCTTATTTTAGCGCATGCGCTCAAAAGCCCGATTGGGCTTATTATCAGGGGATGTCTTATTTTCGGGGAAACAGGGTAATAAACCTTTGGACCTGGGGAGCCACTCAGATTGGATCCCGCAGAAGAATGACCAATGAGTGGTTTCGAAGACAAAGATTTAAGAGCCCAGCTTCATTTTCCCCGATTTAAGATCGAAAATCGAAGCCAAAAGGCGCGCGCAGTAGAAACAAACCACACAGAGAGAAAACGGACACCAGCGCCTAATTTATATATAGATATATATTTATATTTCAATCAAAACACAATTAAATATGGTTTGAGTACTGGAATACTTGGGTATCAGACAATAAGGTGGTACACAGTACCAAAGAAACCTATACACAACTTGTTTTCGCTTTTCTTGACGACGTCTCGCTCCAGCCGATGCCGCAAAGTGATGTGCGTTTTATAGTCTATTCCACTTTCAAATGGCTGGAGACAAATCAAAAACTTTCCTAAAGGTAGTTTGAGATAATAAATCCTTTCCTTCGTTCTTTTTTGCACAAGTCTTCAGGAAACAAACGCCAATGACAACGTAAAAAAAAATAATAACCCCTCCGAAGAGATAAAAACGTCAAAACAGAAAAAAAAAAAAAAATAACAGAAAGGGGGGGGGGGGAAAAACCCTATAAGCACAACGGACTGGATTTTTGTCTCAAGTATTCCAAACTCTTGTAAAATGTTCTCGCGCGTGGCAAGCGCTGGAGATCGGAGGAAGTTTCGGATTTATTTGGAGAAAGGAAAAAGGGGGGGAAAAAAAAGAAGAAGAAGAAGAGGCAACCGACCCCCTACCCAAATTGCGTTAAAGGAGAAAAGTAGAAAGGTCGGAATCTGAAACAATTCAGCAAAAAAAACCCTGAATTAACGTCTAAAAACCGGACTAGAGTTGTTGTTTTGCCTTAAATGGACATATTTGCAAACGAAAACAGGAAACGCACAAAAGTCCCATTGCTTATTTTTTTTCTTCTTCTTGCGTTTTTCTCAGACGGCTGAAATGTCGTTTTTGCAGAGTGAGAGAGGCGTTTTTTCGGAAGGCGAAGAAGAGAGAGAAAAGTGGAAGGGTCCTTTTTTTTTTTTTAAAATAAAAAAAAAATTGTTTTGTCTCCAACTTCTTATCTCTTTTTTCCGGACTGGCCCAAAAATGCACGAGGCAAAGAATCCAGTTAATGGAATACTTCATTATTTCAAAGGATCTTTCCCAAAATGGTTCCAGGGTTTTTAAAACTGCTCCCTCTGTCGGTCGCGAAGTCCGAAGGTACCCTGAGCCTTTTTGATTGCAAAGGTCTTCTTTTTTTTTCTTTTTTTTCCTTTAAAGTTTGCAATAACAACAAACAACAAAAAAAACGCAGCTCGGAAAACTTAAGGGGCAATTTTTTTTTTCTTCTCCGTGCCTAACTGTAGTCCAGAAGGCGAATCCTTGGTAGAAAGAGTTGGGGAAACTTCCTTCAATTGGGTCTCGAGAGAGAGAAAGGTAAGACTCTTCCCCCCCCACTCAAGCGGGGGGAAATGCACCCGCTGATTAGGGTACGGGGCGCTGGGCAGGCAGCCGTGAGGAAGGGGTTTTTGGGTGAGGGGGAGAGAATCCGGCTCCGCTTCACTTCATAGGCAGAAGCTCCTGAAGATCATAGCTGAGAAAAAGAGAAAAAACAGGTGTTAGGAAATGATTTTACCTAACTTGTTGGGTTGGGAATATATAAACCATGAATATAGCTTTAAGACTGATGTATTGCTGTATTGCATCGTACTGTGTCCTGATTGGTTAACTCTGTAGCCAATGTCCTTAAGAGGGAGCTAGAAACCTGGTTTGTTTCTCTTTGATTGCTCTTTGCTGAACCCTTTGCTGATCTGTATTGATCGCTACTGCTTTTTGCTGTGTTTGCTACTGTTTGCAACTGTAAGAACTGTTATTGTGTATGACTACAACGACTGGTAAGAAGACATTGTTATTTGGATAATCCCTGGACTATTGTTTGACTATCTATTGATTTATACGTGTTTGACCTGGACTGTTTATTGGACTGCGCCTTACTATATCCTAAAAGTAAACACAACTCAATGTATCTGTGTGTTGGCTGTGTTATTCATAACTAATCTCAATCGCTTTCATGTGCACACCCTCGCTACTTAAGGGTTGCTCTGCGAATTCCTCAACAAAAGGGGGTGATTAAGAAGCAGGAACGTGTGTGCGTGTGTCAGACTTCCATTTGTAACATCCAACTCTCCGAGCCCCCTTTTTTTCACTGGGCCCTTTGGGGTGACCAGCAGACCCTCCCCCTTTTTGCAAACTGCGATGATGCCAGGCAGCTGCCACCGTACCACACACGATTTCCGATGGAAAGCCGCGTATGAATTCTGCTGACTTTGGCATCTGACAGCTGACAATGGGAATCGCGATGGATGCATGGAATCTGGTTTATCGGGTTGGCTGGCTGGCTACACATAGTCCTCGACTTACGACCATAACGGTGTCTGAAATTGTGGTCGTAAATCGAGATGGGCGTGAAACGGATCGCCACGTGACTGCGCCTGATTTGGACGATCTTGTTTTGCGGTGGTGGTTAAAGCAAAGTTAGCAGTCGTTAAGTGAACCAGTTGTTCAATGTGGGGAGATTTTTGGGGGCGACCACAAATATTGTAAATTGAAGTTATGGGGCTGCTAGTCTTCTGCAGCACCAATGCAAGGAGAGGTTGTAGCGCAGGAGTGTCCAACTTGTCAACTTTAAGACTTGTGGACTTCCACTCCCATAATCCCCCAGCCGGCATGCTTTAAGAGGGGTGGATTTCCACTCCCAGAATTCCCCAGTGAACATACTTTAAGATGGTTGGACTCCAGCTCCCAGAATCCCCCATCCAGCGTGCTTTAAGAGGGGTGGACTTCAACTCCCAGAATTCCCCAGCCAGCATGTTTTAAGAGGGGTGGACTTCAACTCCCAGAATCCCCCAGCCTACATGCTTTAAGAGGGGAGGACTTCCACTCCCAGAATCCCCCAGCCAGCCTGCTTTAAGATGGATGGACTTCAGCTCCCAGAATCCCCCAGCCAGCATGCTTTAAGAGGGGAGGACTTCCACTCCCAGAATCCCCCAGCCAGCAATGCTTTAAGATGGATGGACTTCCACTCCCAGAATTCCCCAGCCAGCATGGGAGTTAAAGTCCACAAGTCTTAAAGTTGCCAAGATGGGCATCCCCCTGTTGTGGCAGGTCAGCCATTACCTTAGTCACCTTTTCGACCGCTGCCTCCGGGGGTTGGGCCTGTTGCATGACGTCGTTGACGATCATCTTGGCTATTCTCCAGGCCATCTCCTCTTGGGCCTAGAAACAGGGCGAAGGAGTCCGTCAGCACAGGGCATTCTGGGACTGCGACTAGTGAGCAGAAAAACGCTGTACCCCAGGACCCTCGCCTCCCCCTCCAATTCGCCTGGGCCCCCAACTCTATTTTCAAAGAATATTTGATGGGTCACTATGCCAAGGATGTAATCCTACATCCAGTATAGCTAGCTCTCAATTTACGACTATTTATTTATTTATTTATTTATTTATTTATTTATTTATTTATTTATTTATTTATTTATTTTATTGAATTTCTATACTGCCCTACTCCCGAAGGACTCAGGGCGGTGAACAGCCATAAAATAAAACACATACATATACAAAATTTAAAATCGAATAAAATGAATTAAATAAATTTGGCTGAATTAATACCAATAATTTAAAATACCCATATTTTAAAACACATTAAAATTGAACCTCGCATTTCTGTTGCTAAGCGAGACAGTTGTTAAGCGAGTTTGGCCCCGTTTTACAACCTTTCTTATCCTTGTTGTTAAGTGAATCCGGCTTCCCCGTCGACTTCGCTGGGTGGGAGGTTGCAAAAGGGGGATCGTGTGACCGCCGGGGCACCGTAACTGTCGTAAGTACACGCCAGTTGCCAAGTGGATGAATTTTGACCATGTGACCAAGAGGAAGCTGCAACCGTCGTTAAGTGTGAAAAATGGTCATAAGTCACTTTTTTCAGTGCCCTTGGGTACTTTCGACGGACTCTAAATGAAAGGTCGTAAGCTTGGGGACTTCCTGTATTTGTTTAATGGCTGTTTAAACTTACTAAGGCGCTGAAAAAATTTGACTTGCGACCAGTCCTCACACTTACGACCGTCACATCTGCGTGATCATGCAATCAGCATTTGGGAGCCTGATAACCGGCACATATTTACAATGGTTGCGGCATCCCAAGGTCAGTATTTGCGACCATCCTAACTGGCTTCTGATAAGTCAATGGGGAACGCCGTATTCATTTAATGACCATGTGACTCGCATAACGACCATGGCAAAAAGGATGATAAAATTGGGTGTGACTCACTTAAGGAACAAATCAACCTGATCAGAGGGTTCACTTCCCAAATATTCAGAGGAACTCCTTCTGCAACCATTTTTTTTAAATTCCGGAGACGAATTTTTGCTTATTCTAGATTTCTGACCTAAAACCGACAGATCAACCTGCCCACCAGAGACGCAAAGGCGGTCACCAAAGAGATATGACATATTTTTTTCTTTAAAAAGTAGTGAGGGCCTTACCTCATCTGTATTTCCTTGCACCCATTTCTTCATTGCTTGTGAAAACATGGACCCTGGGAAGAGAAGTAAAAGGAGGGCTGAGAAATTTCATGTTTTATGACATAAAATTTATGTAGTCAAAATGACTAACTGCAGAATTCCGGGGGTGGAAGTCCTCCCCTCTTAAAGCAGGCTGTCTGGGGAATTCTGGAGTGGAAGTCCACCCATCTCAAATCATGCAGGCTGGGGGATTCTGGGAGTGGAAGTCCTCCCCTATTAAATCATGCAGGCTGGGGGATTCTGGGAGTGGAAGTCCTCCCCTATTAAATCATGCAGGCTGGGGGATTCTGGGAGTGGAAGTCCTCCCCTATTAAATCATGCAGGCTGGGGGATTCTGGGAGTGGAAGTCCTCCCCTATTAAAGCATGCTGGCTGGGGGATTCTGGAGATTAAAGTCCACCCCTCTTAAAGCATGCTGGCTGGGGAATTCTGGGAGTGGAAGTCCACCCATCTCAAATCATGCAGGCTGGGGGATTCTGGGAGTGGAAGTCCTCCCCTCTTAAAGCATGGCTGGCTGGGGAATTCTGGGAGTGGAAGTCCACCCATCTCAAATCATGCAGGCTGGGGGATTCTGGGAGTGGAAGTCCACCCCTCTTAAAGCATGGTGGCTGGGGAATTCTGGGAGTGGAAGTCCACCCATCTCAAATCATGCAGGCTGGGGGATTCTGGGAGTGGAAGTCTATCCCTCTTAAAGCAGGCTGGCTGGGGAATTCTGGGAGTGGAAGTCCACCCATCTTCAACCTGCTAAGGCCAAGAAACCTCGGCTGAGGAGAATCTTCTCTTGAGGAGGGAAAAGGCAGCTCACCTTTGGACTTCTTGAGGTCCGGTTCTGGCTCCGATTCCCTAATGAACTGGCCCAGGTCGCTCACGCGGCCAAACGTCATCTTCCTGCAGCAGGAGGAAGAGCGGCTGGTTAGCTATGGGATGGGGGTGATGACGGGTTGCAGCAGAGATGGGAGGCCCACCGCAAAGAATCCCCCCAGCTTCAAATCACACCTATTTCCCCTGGAAGGCCTGTTATTTTTTTCCCCATTTCAGAGGCAAAGGCCTTGTTTCTCCGACCTTCACGATAAGAAGCGAAGAGCCATTTAAAAACTGACCGTGGGGAAAATAGAACAGAACTGGGAAGGAAGGACTTGAGCAAGGCAACACAGCCCATCCCTTGAAGAAAAGTGGAAGCCAAACGGTCGTAAGTGTGAGGACTGGCTGTATGTCACTTCCCCCCTCCCGTCGTAACTTTGAAGGGAGGCTATTCATTCATTCATTCATTCATTCATTATTTATTTGTTTGTTTGTTTGTTTGTTTGTTCAATTTATATGCCGCTCTTCTCCGGAGACTCAGGGCGGCTTACAATGTGTTAAACGAACAGTCCCTAAACTTGAAGATGACTTGTAATTGCGACAGGATAGGATACCGTATTTTACAGAGTATAAGAGGGAATGGGGATTTTGCAGTATCCTTCCCCTGGAGTGGGGTGGGAATGGAGATTTTACAGTATTCTTCCCCTGGAGTGGGGAGGAAACGGGGATTTTGCAGTAACCTTCCCTTGGAGTGGGCAGGGAATGGGGATTTGACAGTATCCTTCCCCTGCCACGCCCATGAAGCCATGCCACGCCCCACCAAGCCACACCCACAAAACCGGTAGTAAAAAAAATATTGAAACCCACCATTGTTCAAAAGCACAGCTGATCGTCGGAGGAAGCGCCAGTGAGTCAAGCCGGCGAAGCGCGGAAGCACTAAGACAAGGCGGCAGCTGTCACGAGGTTACCATTTTGGGCTCCGCGCCTCACGTTTTCAGCCTCCCAACGGTCCATTTGAGAGCCATTTAATGCTGCGGGGAGCGCCAATGCACATCGCTGCCAATGGCCGCCCGAAAATGCAACGCGCAGAGGCTAAAAATGGAGTGTGCGGAGGCCTAAAACGCAATGCGCAGAGGCCAAAAATGCAATGTGCGGAGGCAGCGATCGGCGGCAATTTGCTTTGGCGATCCCCGCGGCCTTGAAGGGCTCTCAAACGGAGCATTGGGAGGCTGAAAACGCAAGCCCTGGTCTCTGGCAATCTCTGCAGCCAGGAAGAGGATGCGCGGAAGCCGAAGGGTGGGGGCCGGCGGGACTACATTCGGAGTATAAGATGCACCCAAATTTTCAGCCTCTTTTAGGGGGGGGAGGAAAAGTGCATCTTATACTTCAAAAAATACGGTAATTCAATCTTGAAAGCCTCCCCCAAATTTGTCACGTCTTATGCTAAAGAAAATCAAGACGGGATTATCTTGAGTTTCTTTCTCACCTTTGCTTCTAACTTTCTGAACAGATTTATCTTTCTGAAGCTCTGCTCCAGATTTCTTTCACCAGAAGGGGCCATCCGGATGTTAGGTTACAACCAGACAGACATTTTAAAAGCCCAACAGGACCACCCCAGGTTTCTGTAACCCTCAGCTGATCTCCTCCTGGGTTCCCAGCTGCCGCTCAGCATGGAAAAAGAAAAGCAACTTACCCAGCGTAGGTCCGCTGATAGAGAGACTCGGGGTCCAGGCTGGCAGCATCAACAATTATTGCTTCATCAAAGTTTTTCAGGATTTTTACATTGGCCTTTTTGAGGCTGGGCTGTGATGTAACGTTCGGGTATTAGGATCAGGAGAATGAAGAGGAGGATGGGAAAAAAAGAAAAAGAAAAAAGAACCTCATATAACTGTAATCTGGATTAAACTTTTCATGAAAGGACTGTCTGTCTGTCTCTATCTAATCTCTCTTTCTTTCTATCAAATCTATTTATCTATCCATCATGTATCTATATTTAATATCTTTCTCTCTCTCTCTCTCTAATAGATTACAGATGCCTGTCTCTATCATCTATCCATCTGTCTTCCATCTATCAATCTCTGTCAATCTATATCTATCTATCCATTCATCCATCCATCCATCTATCAATCTTTCTCTCTTCCATCTATCAATCTATATCATCTATCTATCCATCCATCCATCCATCCATCCATCCATCCATCCGTCCATCCATCTTCCATCTATCAATCTATATTTCTCTCTTCCATCCATTAATCTATATCTATATCTATATCTATGTGTCTTTTTCTTTTTCGTAGGCTTTTATGTGCATATTCTTTCTAGCCAGGTTTTACCTACGTAAGCTAAGATGTTCTACAGCCCTGGTTCTGTGAAATCTCATTCACAAGTTTCTGGGCTTTTTGTTTCTTGCTGACAAACAGCAACTCTGTGCTGCTCTTTGGGAGACTCAGATAGCTATTTCTGCCTTGTAAGGCGTCATCAGTGAGCCACACCCTCTTCTCAGGTATCCTCCCTGTAAAGGTACAATGTGTCTTTGTACCTTTAGGGCTGTAGAATATCTATATCTATATCTATATCTATATCTATCTATCTATCTATCTCCATCCATCTCCATCTATCTATCTATCTATCTATCCATCCATCTTCCATCTATCAATCTATATCTATCATCTATCTATCTATCCATCCATCTTCCATCTATCAATCTATATTTCTCTCTTCCATCCATTAATCTATATCTATATCTATATCTATATCTAATCTATCTCCATCCATCTCCATCTATCTATCATCTATCTATCTATCCATCCATCTTCCATCTATCAATCTATCTCTCTTCCATCCATCTATTAATCTATATCTATATCTATCTATCTATCTATCTATCTATCTATCTATCTATCTATCCATCCATCTTCCATCTATCAATCTATCTCTCTTCCATCCATCTATTAATCTATATCTATATCTATAACTATATCTCTATCTATCTATCTATCTATCTATCTATCTATCTATCTATCTATCCATCCATCCATCCATCTTCCATCTATCAATCTATCTCTCTCTCTTCCATCCATCTATTAATCTATATCTATATCTATATCTATAACTATATCTCTATCTATCTATCTATCTATCTATCTATCTATCTATCTATCTATCTATCTCTCTCTCTCTCTCTACCTGCCTGCCTGCCTGCCTGCCTGCCTGCCTGCCTGCCAACCTATCTATATGGAATTCATACTGGCTGGGGAATTCTGGTAGTTGAAGTCCCCAGGTCTTAAAGTTGCCAAAGTTGGACAACCCTGCCTTAAATGCCCAAACCCATCGCACAAAAACCAAAGGTTTTTTTTCCCACTAGCTTCAACTTCTCTGCTCCAAATTGCGCCTCAAGACTCACCATTTAGTAGCCTATTGCTGGTGGTCTGGTTTTCTTTTCCTTTTTTGCTGGCCAGCGACACTTTAAAGGTGGATTTAGATTTTTGCCAAGTATCAACACCGCTAAAGGTGTTGATGGGAATTGTTGCAGAAGGCTGCAGGCAGGGGCGCGATGCGCGCCTCCAAAATCTAACTGTGCCTTTGTGCAGAGGTTTGTGTCTTCCTGTCGATTGCTCAATGCTCAACTTCCGGTTCTGTGCTTTGCTGTTTGAATTTCCCCCCAGCCAGATCTTGACATTTGCAGAAATATAAATGAAACACCTAGCCCAGTGATGGCTACCCTTTTTGCCATCACGTGCCAGGAGAGGGGGGGCGGGGGAGGGTCGTGGCACTTGATGGCCTGCTGGCCAGTTTTTCTTTCTTACCTGGTTACAGATCCTCTCTATGCATCTGGGAAGGGTGAAAACAGCCTTCCCCACTCCCTTGGAGGCCCTACGGAGGCTGAAAGGGCCCATTTCCCCACTCCTGGTGGGACAGGAAGTGACATTTTTTGCTGTCCCCAGCCTCCAGAACCTCTCTAGGAGTCTGTAAGAGCCTCTCTAGGAGTCTCTGGAGGCTGGGGACAGGAAAAAATGTCACTTCCTGTCCCACCAGGAGTGGGGAAATGGGCCCTTTGAGCCTCCGTAGGGCCTCCAAGGGAATGGGGAAGGCTGTTTTCACCCTTCCCAGATAAATAGAGAGGATCTGGAGCCAGGTAAGAAAAAAACGGGCCTTCCCCACCTCGTCCCCAGGCCCTCCAGAGGCAGGAAACAGCCTGTTTCCCTACTTCTGGTGGGCCCAGAAGGCCTGAAAATCAGCTGGCCGGCGCGCACATGCGCCCCAGAGCTGAGCTGGCGTGCCCACTAATATGGCTCCGCGTGCCACCTGTGGCACACGTGCCATAGGTTCGCCATCACGGACCTAGCCAATCATCCTTGAAGGACAGAAACATACGTCCCCTGACGCGCCGTGCCAGAGAAGTCTGCTCAAGCCTTAAATCAGGGTTCACCAATCTTTCGGACCTCAGGGACCACCAAATTCATAATTTTAAATTCCACGGACCACTAATATGATCTGCCTAATGACCGGCTGGGTGGGCGTGGCTAGGTGGCCATGTGACTGGGTGGGCGTGGCCAACTCGATGTCACTCATGTTGCGGGGTGCCTCACCGGTCTCTACTCGCCCCTCCCCTTCCCAGCCCCTCTTCGCCTACCCGCCCAGGCTCCTTAGGGCCCCAACAGGAAGCAGGTGCTGGAGCTAAGCAGCCGCCATGAGAAAAGAGTTGGCAAAACAGCTCAGTTCAGATTGGATCTGGCCGAGAAGGAGGCTCAGCAGAAGCACCTCACTGAGGACTAGGAGCATAGGCTTTCCAAGCAGAGGGTAGACCTGCAGGAGTGCAAGGCCAGGTACCGGCGCCTGGAGGCTCAGCAGGCTGAGATGGTCAGCCAGTTCCAGGCCATAATGCAGTCCCACTAGAACGAGACACTCTGGCTCTTCTCCACCAGCGGTGCTTCCCTCCAGCCTTCTCCCAAAGCCCCACACCAGGAGGCTGAAGCAGACCCCAAGTCGGAATTTCTGCCCCCCTCCGACCCACCCAAAAAGATCCCAAAGGGGGAGACTCTCTGCAGGAACACAAACGTTCATTGAACGTATCCGGCCCAGGGGCCGTAGTTTGAGGACCCCTGATTTAGTGAAATGCAAATAATTTTTCTGCGGACCACCAAAATTTTCTCACGGACCACCAGTTGGTGACCAGCGCCTTAAAGCATCCTTCTAATTTCTAATTTTAATTGTCACTCTCGGGTTTCCAAGCTGTATTTTCTCACAATTCATTGACTTCGCTGACTAGAAGTCCAGAGGACTGATCATTTACCGTGTTTCCCCAAAAATAAGACCCTGTCTTAATAATTTTTTTGGCACCAAAAAAAAAGGCACCAGGTCTTATTTTCAGGGGGGGATCGATCCGGAGCTCTGTTATCAGCTGTGTGTTATCGGTGTGCGAGGCCTGGCTGCAACTATCCGAAAGTAAGTAGTAGGGCAGCTCCACCTCCACCATGGCTAAATTCTTACCCGTGTACTCTGGAGTGAGCGGGGTCTTAATTAGGGTTTATTTTGGGGAGGTAGAGCTGTAAAAAAAAAAAAAACAAGCTAGGACTTACTTTCTGAGTAGGTCATATTTTCGGGGAAACACGGTAGTCCCCAGAGCAATTAAGAAGAGGCAGGAAAAAAGAGCCCGTAGGAAGATTTAGGGTGTTGTGGCCCCGCCCTCTGAGCCTGTCCCATCGGAGGAAGAAAGCTCCGAGCACGAGGAAGAGGAGTCAGCCAGGCCTCCCTCTCCAGGCCCCTCCCCTCTGGCATTGTCTCAGGTGCCGGCCGAGGGAGAGGAGATTAGCAGGGAGACAGGTGGCTCGGATGAGAGCGAGGGAGACACATCATTCCTGGACGCACGCCTCCGAAGGCGTGATAAACGATTGCAGCAGCTCAGGAGGCGTGCTAGGGATTAGAACTGAGTCACTGGACCACACCCCAGAGACTATATAATAGAGGGTGGTGGCCAGTGATCCTTGTGACGAACAAAACTAACCTTGGATAGTCACTAAAGCCTCGTTCGGAACTGCTGAGAGAAATATTTATTGTTGTCGGACATTTGGAAGCTGAGTATTTATCTTTCTGTTTTTCTGTGAAAATAAAGGGACTTGGCAGACAGTGTGTCTATCGCTGCCAAGTTGGAGATAAAGAAACTGGGTGTGTTCCAAAGTGTTTCCTTAACCCTCGGCTGGCTGTGTTTGTGTGTGTGTGTGGACGGGGACAGATCATAGGGGTTTTTGGGGGTGGTGGGGAAAGAGACCCACAAGTATCAACCGAGCACCTGAGAAGCAGCCCCGCTGTCCGCAGCACCCACGTGGGAGTAGTGGTTGGAAACGTTGCCAAGACCGTGAACGTTGAAGGCGAGACCTCCGCCGGCAAACTCATCTCCCCGGACCGAATGGATGAGGTCATTCAAGTATTTGTAATAAAGATTGCTGGACAGGAAGCTGGGTAAGAAAACCTGCAGGACGGGAGAGAACGGGAGGATGGAAATGACGGCCAGCCAACGTCCTTATAGAAGAGAATATTGGTTAGCTCAGAATTGAAGGGGGCTCCCCTCGGGGCTCTCTGAGACGGGCTGTTTTGTTTTGCAGTTGTTTCGTGACACAGATGGGTGACATCATCAGTGCTAGGAGGGAGTGGAGTTTGCAGAGTGGAAGAGGAGGAGGAGGAGGAGGGGGAACAAGGGCGAGGAGGTGGTGGAGGAGGAGTAAGAGAAGGCGGAGGAGGAGGACTGCGGGGTCCTTGGTGCTCTCTGAGCTTGGTGGTTTTCTTGCAGACATTTCATGACCCAGCTAGGTAACATCATCAGTGCTGGAAGGGGAGTGGAAGTCCTCCCATCTGAAAGCAGGCTGGCTGGGGGATTCTGGGAGTGGAAGTCCACCCATCTCAAATCATGCTAGCTGGGGAATTCTGGGAGTGGAAGTCCTCCCATCTGAAAGCAGGCTGGCTGGGGGATTCTGGGAGTGGAAGTCCATTCATCTCAAATCATGCTAGCTGGGGAATTCTGGGAGTGGAAGTTCACCCCTCTTAAAGCAGGCTGGCTGGAGGATTCTGGGAGTGGAAGTCCATTCATCTCAAATCATGCTAGCTGGGGAATTCTGGGAGTGGAAGTCCTCCCATCTGAAAGCAGGCTGGCTGGGAATTCTGGGAGTGGAAGTCCACCCCTCTTAAAGCATGCTGGCTGGGGGATTCTGGGAGTGGAAGTCCATTCATCTCAAATCATGCTAGCTGGGGAATTCTGGGAGTGGAAGTGCGCCCCTCTTAAAGCAGGCTGGCTGGGGAATTCTGGGAATGAAACTCCAACCATCTTAAAGCATGCTGGCTGAGGAATTCTGGGAGTGGAAGTCCACCTGTCTTAAAGCGGGCTAGCTGGGGAATTCTGGGAATTGAAATCCACCCATCTAAAAAGATGCTGAGCTTGAGAAACTCTTGATATTTAAAAAGAAAATGATCTCAACCCCCGTCAAACAGCTGTCGGAGTCCACCCCACAGCTGAGCCCTGCTCGGTCTCCTCCTTACCCAGATCCCTCAAAGTCCTGTCGGATTCTTTCAGGGAGGCCCCTGATCCGAGAGGCCCCATCCTCACCTTCTCCATGGTGGTCCAGGCCTGTCGCAGTGGAGTGGTGAAGCAGTTGGGGAGGGGTCCGCCTTCCCTGCAGATATTGGACTCAATCTCCAACCGTACGTAGTCATCGAAGCCGAGAGGATGAGTGGACTGAAGAGAGAAGTACCTATTTGAAAGGCGGGGAGGGGAGGCAGGCAGAGAGAGGATGAATGGTAAAATGGAGACAACAAAGTTGAAAATAACTTGGGTTCATTCAAGCATCCGGTGACTCAAATTTTGGGAGTTTTGCCCCCTTGGGGGAATGATCTTTGTCAATCTGGGATGCCCCCTTTCACTCACACATACACACACCAGTGTGATTTATAGAGAGTTTTATTGATGTTCCCCTGCAGTTCTCGTCACCCAGCTTCAGAAATGTCCCAAATAAATCCAGCCACAAGCAAGCCAAGATTAATTCACCAGGCAATGGCCGATAGTCCATAAGAGAAATGCAAAGCTGCTCCCACAAATTAAGTCCACTAAACCAATTTAAAAGTTACCAGGCCAAACAGAAAGTACATCTGTGCGAGCTCGCTTGTCAGGAGAAGTTCAGCGTCTCAAAAGTCCAGTAGGAAGCACGAATAAACGCACAGCCATGAATCAACTACGTCTCCCTACGCCTGCCGTGATAAATAGCTTCCCGGTGCAGCCCATCAAGACCAGCAAGGGGGGGGGGCTTTCTTCCCGAGTAATCTGGCTGATCTCCATTGCTCCTGCCTTTTCTCTGCCCTGGGTGCTCTCGGATCAGGTGCAGAAGGCATTTCCCACTCCTCTTCGCTGGTCGTCTGTCCCTGCAGGCTTTCTCCAGCTAGAGCCCCTGTAAATCTCTTTCTACTGGTTGTCCCTCCTTCAGCTCATCCTCCTTAAAGCTGGCCTCCGGAGTCATCTAAGGGAAACATCACAGATGGGTATTGTGAGGTCTCCCTTGGATGGCCCCCCCAATTCTTCCTCAGAGGTCAGCTCAAGAGAGAATGAGCTCATTCCTGGCACGTCAGGAACAGGGTTGATTGATGGCTCTGAACGGCCCGCCGAAAGAGATTTGGAGGAGGCCTCAGCTGGAGAAAGCTTACACAGGGGCAGATGGCCAACAAAGAGGAGGAGGAACTGCCTTCTGCACCTGATCCAAGAGCACGCAGGGCAGAGAAAAGGCAGGAACAACGGAGATCAGCCAGATTACTCAAGAGGAGAAGGCCCTGCCTGTCTTGATGGGCTGCACCGGAAAACTGGCTATTTGAGCTGTTGGTCTGAGCTCGGCAACTTGGCTGCCCTACCCCCAAAATAAGCCCCAGTTAAGATTGCCAGCCAGATGGATGCATTTAGTACTGTATTTCCCCCAAAATAAGACCTAACTAGAAAATAAGCCCTAGCACGATTTTTCAGGATGCTCGTAATATAAGCCCTACCCCAAAATAAGCCCCAGTTAAGATTGCCAGCCAGATGGATGCATTTAGTACCGTATTCCCTCCAAAATAAGACCTAACTAGAAAATAAGCCCTAATGAGTCTTTTGGAGCAAAAATTAATATAAGACCCAGTCTTATTTGTGGGGACACACGGTACTGGCCAATTGCTTTGTGGACTAATTTTGGCCTGCTTGTGGCTGGACTTAGTTGGGACAGTTCTGAGGCTGGGTGAAGGGAATGGCTGGGGAACATTAATAAACTCGCTCAAGCGGTTACTTGTGTGTGTGTGTGTGTGTGTGTGTGTGTGTGTGAGTGCGGCGGCAGAGGCATTGGGAGGGGAGGGGAGAGTGAAACAGTGTCATCCCCCCCACCCCCAGCCTTCTGGGAATTGAACCCAACATTTCTGTCGCTAAGCGAGACAGTGGTTAGGTGGATTTTGCCCTGTTTTACTATTTAAATTCGCCCCATTTTAAATTTCTTTTTTGCCTTGGTTGTTAAGGGAATCAACTGCGGTTGTTAAGTGAGTCACACGGTTGTTAAGGGAATCTGACTTCCCCGTGGGCTTTGATTGTCCAGATCCAGGGTTCTCCAACCTTGGCAACTTTTAAGACTTGTGGACTTCAACTCCCAGAGTTCCTCAGCCAGCAAAGTTGAAGTCCACAAGTCTTTAAAGTTGCCAAGGTTGGAGAACCCTGGTCCAGAAGGTCGCAGAAGGAGGTCACAGGACTTGTGAGATGCTGGGTCTGACGCTGACCCTCGCCAGGGCTAGTCAAGATGAAAACTAGGAGTGCTGGCTGAGGTGGGGAGAAAGAGAGGTTTAAGAATGAGGCTTACTTATCGTACAAGATCATGGCATCGTTCTGGGCCTCCTGCCCGTCGTACTGGCCTTCCTTGGCTGCCAGCTGGGACTGGAAATTGTCTGCGGCCAGCCAAAATTGCAAGATGTTGACCGCGTCTTCTTTCTCCATGAACTGGCAAAGGGAAACGGGAGAAGGTGAGCGCAACGGTTTTTTTTTTGAAGTGCGAAAATTCACTCTGGGTGGGAAAAGGGAAGGTAGGATGAGAAAGAGAAAAAGGAAAGGTGGAGTGGAGTGGAGGAAGAAAGGAAAAGAGAAAGGAGAGGAAAGGAAATAAAATGTTCGAAGGGAAGGGAAGGGAAAGGAATGGGAAGGGAAGGGAAGGGAAGGGAAGGGAAGGGAAAGGAAAGGAAAGGAAAGGAAAGGAAAGGAAAGGAAAGGAAAGGAAAGGAAAGGAAAGGAAAGGAAAGGAAAGGGAAGGGAAGGGAAGGGAAGGAGGGAAGGGAAAGGGAAAGGGAAGGGAAGGGAAGGCAAGGAAAGGAGGCAAGGGAAGGGAAAGGAAAGGAAAGGAGGGAAGGGAAAGGAAGGGAAGGAATGGAGGGAAGGAAAGGAAAGGGAAGGGAAGGAGGGAAGGGAAAGGGAAGGGAAGGGAAGGGAAGGGAAGGAAAGGAGGGAAGGGAAAGGAAAGGAAAGGAAAGGAAAGGAAAGGAAAGGAATGGAGGGAAGGAAAGGAAAGGAAAGGAAAGGAAAGAAAGAAAAGGGAAACAAACAAGGAAATGGGGAAGTCAGAGGGAAGGAAGGAGCAGAAGGAAAGAAAGGAAACAAGGAAAGAGAATGGAGAGAAGGAAGGAAGGAGAAAGAGGAAAGGAAAAGGAAGAAGGAAAAGAGAAGGAGAGAAAAAGAAAGAAGGAGAGAAGGGAAAGGGAAAAAATGGATGAGTGGATGGGTAGGTAGGTAAAAGGAAAGAGAAAGGGAAAGAGGGAAGAAAAGGAACAAGGGAAGAAAGGGAGATGAACAGTGAAAGGAAAAGGAAAAAAGGAAAGGGAAAAAAAGGAAGGAAAAGAAAGGAAAGAGGCAGGGGAAGGGAAGGAAAAAAGTCTTCACGAAGCATTACCCTTATCTTAAAAAAAAAAATACCCAAAAGGTATCCTATTATTTAATAATTTTAATTATTTTTAAACTCCGTCTGTCTTTGTGTTTTTAATTAGGCTGTACACCGCCCTGAGTCCTTCAGGAGAAGGGCGGTATAGAAATAAAATAAATAAATAAATAAATAAAATAAATAATCCTTGAGAATGTTTTACATTAAGCTCCTGAATAAAAGATTCGCCAATCAAATGACGCTCTCTGTTAACACGTCAGAGAAAAAGGACACACCAACGAAAACGCCACAGACCGTGCAATAAAGGGACAGGTTTCACAACCAACACAAACCAACACCTTATGCAGGAAATAATATCTTTGGGGGGAAGAGAAGTGCACAATTTTTGCCAACGGGTAGGGGGTTTTTTTTGTTGTTTTTTTTTGCTATAAATACAATTTGACAATTCGCCAGACTTCTTTCACAGCTGCGAAAATCCAATTCTGCTTTTGTTAAATTTAGGATGGCTTTTTCGCACCCCCCAGCCGGGCATAACAGGTTCAGCAGTGAGCCGAGAACAAGTGTTTTTCAGGTGTGTGCAAAGCCCTTGTGCATCGAGAACAGTCAAATACAGGCAGTCCTTGACTTACGACCACAATTGAGCCCCAGAAATTTCTGTTGCAGAGCGGGACGTATTTGTTAAGTGACTCCTGCCCCATTTTACGACCTTTCTCGCCGCGGTTGTTAAGTGAATCGCTACCGTTAAGTTAGTCACCCGGTTGTTAAGTGAATCCGGCCTCCCGTTGATTTGGCTTGTCAAATGGGATTCACACACACCCTTGGGATGCTGCAACCGTCATAAATATGAGTCGGTTGACAGGCTTCTGAATTTGGACCACGTGACCGCGAGGACGCTGCAACGGTCGTAAGGGTGAAAAATGGCCATACTGTAAGTAACTTGGTTTCAGGGCCATTGTAACTTGACTTAGAACAGTCACTAAATGAACTGTTGTAAGTCAAGGGCTACAATATCCAATTGTCCAATTTGTCAATTTCAAGACCTATCCAATTTGTCAATTTCCAATTTGTCAATTTCAAGGCCTATGGATTTCAACTCCCAATTTGGATATCCGATTTGTCAATTTCAAGGCCTATGGATTTCAATTCCCAATTTGGATATCCGATTTGTCAATTTCAAGGCCTATGGATTTCAATTCCCAATTTGGATATCCAATATGTCAGTTTCAAGGCCTATGGATTTCAATTCCCAATTTGGATATCCGATTTGTCAATTTCAAGGCCTATGAACTTTATAGGTCTTCCTATTATATCCAATTTGTCAATTTCAAGGCCTATGGACTCCCAATTTGGATATCCAATTTGTCAATTTCAAGGCCTATGGATTTCAACTCCCAGAATTCCCCAGCCAGCCATGCTGGCTGGGGAATTCTGGGAGTTGAAGTCCACAAGGCTTAAAGTTGCCAAGATTAGACATCCCTGGTCTACTGTATCTTGGAGAGCGAAGGAACGGAAAAAAACCCCCAATTTTTGGAGCGGGTGTAAAGTTGTGAAGTTTGCTTTCGCAACTAACCCTGAGCTTTTAGGCACCCACAATCGAGGTCTAATTCCTTCCCATAATGTAGGGATGAGAGCCGCCTTTCTTACTGGGCCGTTAGGAAGACCAATGCCACAAACCCGGATTGTCACGAACGGCGGCACTGAATCAAGCCTCCCAGAGTCACTTCGAGCGCGAGGTGGGTGGATGGCGTGCACACTAAAAATAAATCAAATCAAACCTCCCGGGGTTTTGCCAAGCGCGAAACGATCCAAGGAGGAGGAAAGCAATGCCTCGTCTCACCTCTGAGAAGTAGAAAAGGGCCGATTCACAGAAGAGGATATCGGCCAGGTAGACGGTCCCGCTGGTCAGCACCTCGATCTGGTATTTGCAGAAGTGATGGCTTCGCAGGAATTCGCTAAAGTGCCTGCAAGAGAAGAAAAAGAGGGTCATTTCCTCCATCAGAAGTTAGGAAGTCAGCGCCTCCTTTCCAAGAATGACAGAATGATGGGAGGGACCTTGGAGATCTTCTAGGCTCGTGATGGCGGACCAGTGGCACGCGAAGCCATGTCGCCCGGCATGTGCGGCCACCTGCAGGGTGGATAAAAATCAATGATTTTTTTTTTAAAAATCCCAAAAAAATCAGATGTTTTTGATTTTTATCGAATTTATTTTAATAAAAAACTTTTGGGGTAAAAATCTATTGTAAGATAGTTTTCTATTTAAGATACATAAATAATTTAGTTTATTCAGCATGAAATGGAGCTTATGTCAGCGTTTCGACGCTGGCATAGAGAGCAGAGAGAGAGAGAGAGAGAGATAAGCTCTGAACTTCTGCCTGCTAAATCCCTTTGAAGTCGGGTTGTCGTGGAAATGAAGAGGGAGGGAGACATTCCTGGGAAATGACGAGACAAGAAGTCTGAAGAATGACTTGGAAGATAGCCAATGAGAAGCAGAGATTTGGGGATCGGAAAGGGAGGGATTGGGGGGCAAAAGGTCAGTCTTGTCCGCGCGGAGTCATGATCTGGTGGCTGTGCTCAATTAAAGAAAAGATTTTCTTAAAGATTGGCAGTTTGGAAATTCATTTTATTTTGAGATAGCATCGACGTCTGACAGCTTAGTTATGTAGCAGGAGGCTGTATATTCTGCAACACTGGGACTATCGGTGAGTCAACAGCGGGTCAAAGGAGTAGCAGAGATGACAGTTGCTCTTTAAAAATTACGATTTAAATCGAGTTGATTTAAATCAAGCCTTTTTACTAGGGATTTAAATTGTGATTTAAATCAACTCGATTTAAATCAAATCCACCCTGCCTGTTTGTCTTCTGGGTTTCAAGCGCGCATGACAATCAGCTGTCCTTTGCACATGGCAGCGCCAAAAACTGATGCGCTGATTGTTGGGTGCGCATTTGCACGAGAACCTGGAAGTTCGGCTTTTCCAGAGTGTGACTCCTTCACACACGCGCAGCAGTGCCGAAAACTGGCCTGTGCATGCACGCCAGCCAGCTGATCATTGGGCGTGCATGCATGTTAGGACCCAGAAGTTTGGCTTTTCTGGAGCGCGGCCCTGACAAGCATGTATGTGTGCAACATTTCTGCGCAACTTTTTTGGCACTGTTTGCCATCACTGTTCTAGGCCAACCTCCTGTTCAAACACGAAACTCTACAGCAGGAGTATCAAACTCAAGGCCCACGGGCCGAATCTGATCCGCGGGGTGCTTAAATCCAGCCCACAGGGCCGACCTAGAAATATCAAAGGACCCAGCCTGCAGTGCCTCTGCCGGCCAAAACGGGCCGCATGCCCGTTTAAGGCCTGCTCAGCCTCCTGCAGCACTCTGCCGGCCAAAAACAGCCCGCATGGAGGCATCGGGAGGCTCTGAAAAAGCTTCTTGGATGAAAAGCGAAATGTCTTCAAAGAAAAAACAAGGAAGCCAAGTTGCCTCTTGGGGGGAAAAAACACCTTTGAAACAATTATTTGTTTGTTTGTTTGTTTGTTTATTATTTATTGGTTCGATTATTTATTTATTTATTTATTTTAAATTTGATTTATATGCCGCCCTTCTCCGGAGATTCAGGGCGGCTTACAATGCGTTAAGCAATAGCCTTCATCTTTTTGTATATTTATACAAAGTCAGCTTATTGCCCCCACAAACTGGGTCCTCAATTTACCTACCTTAGAAAGGATGGAAGGCTGAGTCAACCTTTAGCCTGGTAAGATTCGAACCTGCAGTAATTGCAGGCAGCTGTGTTAATAACAGGGTGCTTTAGACCACTGTACTACCAAGGCCATATTTATTTATTTATTTATTTATTTATTTATTTATTTATTTATTTATTTATTTATTTAATTTATTTATTTAATTAATTTATTTAATTAATTTATTTATTTATTAGTTCGATTTATATGCCGCCCTTCTCCGGAGACTCAGGGCGGCTTACAATGCTTTTAAGCAATAGCCTTCATACTTTTGTATATACCTGCTTAGTAGGGCTTTTGGCCCCCCCTAAGCGGTGTTCTTTTTTATACAAAGTCAGCTTATTGCCCCCACAATCCGGGTCCTCATTTTACCTCCCTCGGAAGGATGGAAGGCTGAATCAACCTTGAGCCTGGTGAGATTTGAACTCGCAGTAATTGCAGGCAGCTGGCAGCTAAGAGCTACTTTAACAGCACTTTAGCCCGCTGCGCCACCAAGGCTCTTAGGATCTGGATGACTGAGAATCGCCATTAGTCAGACAGTATCTTAAAGACACAAAAGTGCTGGAAGGGTCCCTGGAGGTCTTCTAGTCCAACCCTGTGCTGAAGCAGGGAACCTTATTCCAGACAAATGGCTTTCCAGTCTCTTCTTGGAATCTTCCAGTGTTCTGGAGGGAAGCTGTTGCACTGATCAATCATTCTCGCTGTCAGGAAATTTCTCTTTAATTTTAGGTTGGATCCAGTGGTGGGATTCAAATAATTTAACCACCGGTTCTCTGCCCTAATGACCGGCTGGGTGGGCGTGGCCATGGTGGGTGAGGACATGGTGGGTGTGGCCATGGTGGGTGAGGACATCGTGGGTGTGGCCAGGGGGTGTGACAGGCAGTACTCAGCCTCCTGCACACCCCCCCGGGAGTAAACACGGGCCAAAAAATGGGGAGGGGGATTACTGCCCCTCCGTGCCCCGTTTTGGGCCTAGTAGGCCTCCCTGCAGCCTCCTGGGAGCAAAAACAGGCTGTGGGGGGGGTGCCCCCCCCAGTGCCCCATTTTGGACCTAGTAGGACCTGCGCTTACCTGGGAGCCAAAATGAGGCGCGTGGGGGGAAAAAAAGCACAATACTGGAAAAATCTAGAAACCCCTTCAGATGATATTATAATCAAAAAACTTCTGGAATGTGCAGCAATGGAGAGGTTCACTCTAAAAATCAAAGGAAAAGAAGACTCGGAATATTTTATAACATGGGAACTATTCTACAAGTGGTTAATTGACATATATTGAAGTTAGAGGAGTGGATTTATGCGACATATGGACTTCACGAGAAGAAAAACTGATGAGTAAATGTTTTGATGGTTATATAATCGATACTATAATGGAAGATAGTATACTTTTCAGTAACGATTGATATTATTGCATATATGTTTATATGCCCTCCGAGTGCGGTCTTCCAAGTGCACTTCAAGGTTCTGGTTATCACCTTTAAAGCGCTCCATGGCTTAGGACCTGGTTATCTACGGGACCGCCTGCTACCACCAATAGCCTCCCACCGGCCAGTACGCTCCCAGAGAGGGGCTCCTCCGGGTGCCATCGGCCAAACAATGTTGACTGGCGACCCCTGGGGAGAGCTTTCTCTGTGGGGGCACCTACGATCTGGAACGAGCTCCCCCCGGAGATACGGAGGATCCCGGATCTGCGTACCTTCCGTCGCGCGCTTAAGACTTTTTTATTTCATCAAGCTGGCCTGGCCTAAATCTTCTCCCCTTTTTTAAATGTAAATTTTAATTTGTTTTTAAATTATGGGGTATTTTAAATTTGTTCAGCCAAATTATTTAATTTGTTTTTATTTTATTTTCAATTTTTGTATTTATGTGTTTTATCTTGTGGCTGTTCACCGCCCTGAGTCCTTCAGGAGAAGGGTGGTATAGAAATTTAATAAAAATAAATAAAAATTAAATTAAATAAATAAAATATGTACTGTATCTGATTATGATGATGATGATGTTTATATGTTAACATCTTGGACACCTAGAAAACACACTGTTCGACATAGAAATGGAATATGTGATACAAAACAATAATAGATAGATAGATAGATATAGATATAGATAGATATAGATATAGAGATATTACAAACTATTCTAAAAATACGAGTTCCAGGTATATTAGTAAAAAAAGAAGCAGACATTCTGCGAACTCCGGAACTTAAGATTTTAAAATGTTAAAATCTGAAGTTCCGGAGTTCGCAGTATGTCTGCTTCTTTTTTTTACTTATATATATATATTCTTGGAATATATATATATATTATATATATATATATATATATATATTTATATATATTTTATATATATATAAAATCTAGGAAAGAGAGCATACAAGGTTTAATCTGGTTGAAACAACAGAGCCGACTTACTCTTGTTCCATGGCGTTAAACACCACCGACTGTGCCATGACGAAGCAGTTGGGGTCCACCTGTCCATCTTCCCCGCAGATTTTGGCTGAAAACCCAACCGAAAGATATTTCTGTTTAGCGTCAGAGTCGACGGCAAAAGAAAAGACAGGAGGAGGCCTGCGGCTGTCTCTCGTGCCAGCAGAGAGGCAGAGCAGCAGAGGTGGTAGTCCCTTACTTTCTCTACCGGTTCGCAAATGTGAGCGCGCCCTCACCTCCGCCCATGCGCTCAGCCTTCCACGCATGTGCGGCTTGCACGCATGCATGCGGCTTCAAACTGTGCCCAAATAGGATGGCATAGCGCCAGGATTTTCCTCTACCGCTTGAATACCACCTCTGCAGAGCAGGCTTTGAAACCCGGGGATGGTGGTAGCGCAGGATGTGTCTCCTTTCCAGCCCCATCTCCCCAAAGCTTTGTTTTCCTGCCGAGACGGTTTGGGAGCGCGACGTCTTACCCACAATGTCATTTCTCATCAGCTCTGTAATGGGTATTGGTTTAGCAGCATCGGGAGAGATATATTTGGTAAAAATGGTCACGGCATCCCGTTCAATACCTGGGAGGGGAAGAGAGAGACAGAGAGACAGAGAGAAGAAAAAAAAGGGACAGTGGTATTGGACTCAGTCTTGCTACGGAAAGGAGTTCGTCTGAGGTCGCAGTGAGCTGGGAAGGGGGGGTGGGGTGGGAACGGTTCACCAGTTTGCAAAAACTTCCGCAAGTTGAGTAATGGGAGGTTAATTGCGGTTTTTTTTGAGAAGGAAGGAAGAATTGCACAATTCCACCTAAGAGGAAAACTGAACTGGGACCTTTTGTTGGTGAAAAGGAAATCTCCTTTGCCCCAGAAATTAGTGACTCATTGCTTTTGAAACCCGGAGCCTTTCAGAAATGGGTCTTCCTCCCCTCTTGAACAGTTACAGGTAGTCCTCGATTTACAACTGTAAATTGAGCACCCCATAATTGAACCCACAAATCCGTGATGGTGGTAAAATAAGTTATCACATGGTCTGGTCTGTTCATCACTTGCTCACTCTCTTGTAATCCCTTCCTCTCCAATTTCTACACTCTCCGATGGGAATAAAAACCAATAGGTCATTTACGGGACAATGTATACAGATAGTCTTTGACTTACAACTGTAAATTGAGCCCGCAATTGCGTCCAAAATTGAACCCACAAAGCTGTGATGATGGTAAAATAAGTTATCACATGCTCCGGTCTGTTCACCACTTGCTTACTCTCTTGTAATCCCTTTCTCTCCAATTTCTACACTCTCTGATGGGAACAAAAAACCCAATAGGTCAGACACGGGACAATGTATACAGGTAGCCCTCGACTTACGACAGTTCATCGAGTGACCGTTGAAAGTTACGATGGCAGTAAAATTCAGACATTTGGCAACTGACTCGTATTTATGACGGCTGCAGTGTGTGAACTCCTTTTGCGAACTCCTGACAAGCAAAATCAATGGGGGAAGCCAGATTCGCTTTACAAAACCGTGTTACTAACTGAACCAAACTGAAGGGATTGACTTAACAATGGTGGCAAAAATGTCATAAAAGGGGGCAAAACTCACTCAACTGTCTCGCTTAGCAACAGAAATTTTGGGCTCAATTGTGGGCGTAAATTGAGGACTTTCTGTACTGGTTTTCAAAACAGGAACTACCCTTCATGCTACAAATCTTCCTTTACTTATAAACTTTTTAGCTGAGCTTTGCAAACCAAGGTAGCCTCTCCGGAAGAGACACCCTGTTACGTTTAACAAATTAACAACAACAACAAAAAAATTGTGAACAATGAATAGGATGAACCGGAAGAAGGGATTAATGAAGAATTATCTCAGTTGTACTCTGGTGACTAAATTGAGATTTAGGATTACATGCATAGCACAAATGTCTCTTTGAAGCCGAAATTTCTTCCTTCTCCGGTTTGCAATCCTGGATTTTGAAGCTCTGTTCCAAACAAACCAGGGATTGTGGGTTTAATGTAAACTCAGGTCAGTCGGCAAGAAGAGGTTGCAATTTAAAGCCAGCAAATCTTATGTTTTAACTCAAAAGTTTCTCAACCTTGGGCACTTTAAGATGGGTGGACTTCAACTCCCAGAATTCTGCTATGCTACGCTGGCTGGGGGATTCTGGGAGTTGAAGTCCATCCATCTTAAATACCAAAGGTTGACAAATAACACTTTAATCTAACTTTTCCTCCTGAAGGACTGAAACCATGTTTATAGGACTATACTGGTCATCTTGTATCCCGAGTTGAGGCAGTCCTCGACTTACAACAATTCATTTAGTGACAGTTTCAAGTTACAATGGCCCTGAAAAAAGTCACGTGATCAAAATCCAGATGCTTGGCAACTGACTCACATTTATGACCGTTGCAGTGTCCCGGGGTCACATCTTCCCCTCTTGCAACCTTCTGACGAGCAAAGTCAATGGGGAAGCCAGATTCACTTAACCACCGTGTGACTAATTTAACAACGGCCGCGATCCCCTTAACAACTGCGGCAAGAACGGTTGTAAAATGGGGCAAACTCACTTAACAAACATTTCGCTTAGTGACAGATATGTTGGGCTCAATTGTGGTCGTTGAGGGCAACCTGTAGGCCCTTAAATGAGGATGACCCTGGAAACTACAGGTAAGTCCTCGACTTACGACCACAATTGAGCCCAACATTTACGTTGCTAAGTGAGAATTTTGTTAAGTGAATTCCGCCCCCATTTTATGACTTTTCTTGCCGCAGCTCTTAAGTGAATCCCTGTGGTTGTTACAGTTAAGTGGATCTGGCTTTCCCATTGCTTGACAGAAAGTCATAAAAGGTGATCAAATGATCGTGGGACAGTGCCAACGTCATAAATGTGAATCAACTATCAAGCTCCGAATGTAAATCAAGTGATCATGGAGATGCTACAAGGGTCGTAAGTCTGACAAACGTTCGTAAGTCACTTTTTCCAGTGCCGTTGTCACTTTTTGTTCCCATCAGGGAGTGTGGAAACTGGAGAGAAAGGGATTACAAGGGAGTAAGCAAGTGGTGAACCAGACCGGGCCACGGGATGACTTATTTTACCACCGTCACAGCTTTGTGTGATCAGTAAGTGAACCGTTGTAAGTTGAGGACAACCTGTACTCGGAGAGACCGTGGACGGGGCTTACTTTTCATGAGTTTTCCTGACAAGTCCTTTAGTGCAAAGGAAGGGCTATTTCTATTGGACGCTGAGACCACGGAAGCATCTTGAGGGTCACCCGGAACAGGACAGTCCTCGTCTTCTGACGGAGTCAACCCCAAATGGGGTTTATCACCGCCTTGGCCAAGCAGCAAATGGTTCCGAAGAGTCAAAGTTGACCGGTTGAAACATGCCAAAGAGGGTTCGGAGGGACACCGGTCGTCCAGTCCTCCGTTGAGCGATTCGCCGAAGGGGGGAAACCCAGGTGGGTCCTGATGCTGCTGCTTCAGGCAAGGGGACACCGGCTCGGCCAGGGAACTGTGCTTCACCGTGTTTAAGCTGTGTGCTCTGATGCGGGACCAGGTGGTGGAGCGGAAAGTCTCGGCTTCCAGCCAGAATCGGACCAAGTGTTCCATGCGGTGGAGCTCCATATACTGGGTGAAGTACGGGAGGGCCACGGGGTCGCGCAGGACTTGTGCCAACGTCTTGGAGAGGCTCGACTTGGTTTCTTGAGCTTGGTAATCCAGGCAGGAGCGGCCTAGAGGAAGCAGAGGGAGAGAGAGAGAGAGAGAAAGTGAGGAGGGGCATGCTGGGGGGAGACTGTTGTTACCCAGCTCTCCAAACGCAACCAACCCTCTGAAGTGAACTCAAAAGATTGTAAGAGCCTTGATAGTACAGTGGTTTAGTGCACCCTGTTATTAACACAGCTGCCCGCAATTTCTGCTGGTTCGAATCTCTCCAAGGCTCAAGGTTGACTCAACCTTCCATCCTTTCTAAGGTCGGTGAAATGAGGACCCAGTTTGTGGGGGCAATAAGCTGACTTTGTATAAAATATACAAAAGGATGAAGGCTATTGCTTAATGCATTGTAAGCCGCCCTGAGTCTCCGGAGAAGGGCAGCATATAAATCAAATTAAAAAAAAAAAAAAGATTCCTTTATTTATTTTTATTTTATTTATTTTATTTTATTTCAAATTTATATACCGCCCTTCTCCCTGAGGACTCAGGGCGGTGTACAGCCAGATAAAAACATATAATACAAACATTAAAAACAATTAAAAGAAATATCTCTTTTAAATATCTCATTTGGCCCCAAATTTAAAAAGACAAAACCAATTAAAATTATTAAAAGAATTTCTTCAAAACATTCCGTTTTCTCCACAACTGTTTTTATTGGGTATAGTCAAGGGTTTTACATTGGGTGAAATAAAGTTGATATTGGTATATGGTAACAGCAGCGAGATTATTGATAGGTCAATATAGAGCCTTGGTAGCACAGTGGTCTAAAGCACCCTGTTATTAACACAGCTGCCTGCAATTACTGCAGGTTCGAATCTTACCAGGCTCAAGGTTGACTCAGCCTTCCATCCTTTCTAAGGTAGGTTAAATGAGGACCCAGTTTGTGGGGGCAATAAGCTGACTTTGTATGAATATACAAAAGTATGAAGGCTATTGCTTAACGCATTGTAAGCCGCCCTGAGTCTCTGGAGAAGGGCAGCATATAAATCAAATTTAAAATATATATATATATTGGAAAAATGAAGCTATGCCCACTATTGAAGAATGGACTTTGAAGATGGCCAGTTTTGCAGAGATGGCGAAGATTTCAGCATACTTAAAAGATCGCTCACAAGAGACTTATGTATGGGAGTGGAAAAAGTGGATAGATTATGTGCAGAATAAATATCAAACTAGGAAATATCAGATAGCTTTTAATTGAATGTATTATATAGGGATAGAATAATTGAATTTTGTGAAGATTTGAATAATATACAGGGGGTGGAGGGGTTCAAGTTTTATAAAAATTGTGATTTTGATTTGGATTACATTTTGTGGAAGTCCTGAGGGGAGGAGAGGGATAGGGGGGGTTAGGGAGGGTTAGGGAAGACTGGGGGGGGGGAACTGGGGAGAAAATGTATTTGTAAAACTTTTTCAATAAAAAAAAATATTATTAAAAGAATTTGTTAAGCCAGCCCGGCTTGCTGAAATAAGAAAGTTTTAAGGGCGCGGCGGAAGGCACCGAGGTCTTGGATTGTCCTTATCTCTGGGGGCAGCTGATTCCAGAGAGTAGGTGCCTCCACAGAGAAGACCCTCCCCCTGGGGGTCACCAGCCTACATTGTTTGGCTGATGGCACCCCGAGGAGGCCCTCTCTGTGGGAGCACATGGGTCGATGGGAGGTCGTCGGTGGCAGCAGGTGGTCTCGAAGGTAACTAGGTCCTATGCCATGGAGCGCTTTAAAGGTGGTAACCAACACCTTTATAAGGAGCGCCAGCAGCCCCGGCAAAAAGTTTCTCTCTCACCGCAGGCTAACAAGTCCGTCCGGCAAGGGAGATGAATAGTTGTCTGCCCCATCTATTCATCTCCACCCCCTGCCTTTTATCCTCAGAGCAAGGGTGGGGCTTCGCTAGCAGCGGTGGGCTCTTCCGTCCCGAGGACCGGCCCATAGATTTCCACTGCTCTCCTCTCCTCTGCCTTCTATGCATCCGAGCGTCAGGCACTGGACCCAGCTGTTCCTCTTCCTCATCAGCCACCTCCAAACCTCAGGCTGTTGACTCTCCATCTGAGGGCTGACGGACGGTCCAGGCTCCACTTCTGTCTCTCTCTCTCTGACAGATCCATTCCCTCTTCCCCCTCGGAGCTCTCAGGTTTCCTTGATGCTCACCCTGACTCCCATGCCTCCTCCTCTGAGTTGGTTGTTGGAAGGGACAGCAGCCGACAGGCCACAACAGAGACGTTCTTCGAGTTTGGAGAGAGGCACCCTATAAAATATCTCTATCCCAGCCCCATCAGTTCGGAGGAGGAGCTGGAACCAGGACTGTCCAACATGGGCAGTGCATCTCCCCTGGAATGTCTGGAGAGTCCAGGGGCTTAGGACGATGCTCTCCCAGGCCCTTCCCGCATTGGGGTCGGTGGTCGACTGGGCAGGGAGCTGCCTTCCTTCACAAACAGGGGAGAGGATTGGCTGCAGTCAGGCAGTGGTGTTGAGAGGCAGCAGAGCCCCACTGATGAGGAACAGCTGCCTCCCCCAAGTGATCCGAGGGGCACAGAGAGCGGAGCGGAGGCAAGCTCAAAGGAGGAGGTCAGCGAGGCTGCTGGCGAGGAGGCTGCCCCGGCACTTCTCATATCTGCCTTGAATTGATTTAATGGGAGGCCATGGAGGGTGTCTTTCTTGGGAACAATCTGATTTAACTAATTTGCACACAGGTACTCCTCAGGTTGCGGAGGCTTCCTACTATAGTTGTAAGTTATAAAGGTTGTAAAATGCTTGGTCAAATGATTGAGGAAAAGTCTGGCTTTCATGCCTGAGCTGGGACTAGAACTCACCTTCTCCTGGGGACTGGTTCATGGTTACCCAGCTGGCTTTCAAGCCTAAAGTGGGACTAGACATCACAATCTCCTAATGATTCACCCAGGCAGCTTTTATGCCTAAAACGGGATTAGAACTCTCTGTCTCCTAGTGATTGGTCCAAAGTCACCCAGATGACTTTCATGCAGAACCTGGGACTGGAAGTCTCATTCTCCAGATGATTGGCCCAAAGTCACCCAGCCGGCTAGCATATCTAGAGGGAGACTAGAACTCACTGCCTCCTGGTTTCTAGTCTAGTGCTTCAATCACTTGACTAAACTGAATCAATCAATCAATCAATCAATCCATCACTTCCTTGCAGCTACCTATCAAAGGTATTTTAGGTCTCTAAACATGCTCACAAGGTCTTTGGACCCAGCTAGAAATTGCCAACAGTGAGATATTGGTGAAGCGGGCACAGCAGCGCCTTCATTTTGTGTGTCGCATGAGAAAAGAACATCTTCCTCCCCCTGTCCTCACCACTGTCAGCGTCTCACCGCTGGCATAGAGAGGAGAGAGATAAGCCCTGAACTATTGCCTGCTAAATCCCTTTGAAGCTGGGTCGTCGTGGAAATGAAGGGAGGGGGGACATTCCTGTGAAATGACGAGACAAGAAGTCAGGAGAGTGACTTGGAAGATAGCCAATGAGAAGCAGATAATTGGGGATCGGAAAGGGAGGGATTGGGGGGCAAAAGGTCAGTCTTGTCCGCATCAAGTCATGATCCGGTTGCTGTGCTCGAATAAAGAGAAGATGTCCTTAAAGATTGGCAGTTTGGAAATTCATTTATTTTGAGATAGCATCGAAGTCTGACAACCACTTTCTCAAGAGGGACAATCAAGAGCATCCTGTCATATTGCATTATAGTCTGGTTTGGAAGCATTCCTGCTTCGGACAGGAAGGCAGTGCAGAGTGGTGAGGACAGTAAAAAAGATTATTGGCGGTTCACTCCCTTCTAACCAGGACATGGCACATTAAGAGATGCTTGAGCAAAATCGGCAGGATTGTCCGGGATGCTACACGACCTGTTTTCCTTGTTACCTTCTGGGAGGAAGTTTCCTGGTATCTGAAGCAGAACATCCAGATTCAGCCAGAGTTTTGCTCCATGTAGCATTAACCTTGTGAACTCTCAAGCTTCCTCTTTCCAATATGCATTCAAGATGGCTAACAATGAATATTTATATGTTTAGGTTTTAAGTCAGGGATGTCACAACTCAAGTCCCAGGGGTCAGATTCGGCCCGCGGGGTGCTTAGATCAGGCCCGAGGGGCTGCCGTGGAAATAGCGGAGTAACAGCCTGTGGTGCTTCTGCCAGTGAAAACGGAGCCACGCACGGCCCCCCTAAGCTCTGTTTTTGCTGGCAGAGGGTTGTAGGAGGCCGTCGCAGCCGGAAATGGAGCTCAGGAGCTGTTGTGGCCCGTCAGCGGCCTGTGCAGCTAGTAGCTGATTCCGACAGCGAGGAGGCTGGTGTGGTGCTGTGCCAGCAGCCTGTGCAGCTGGCACTCGAGTCGGACAATGAGGAGGCTGGAGAAGATGTGGTGCCAGAGACGGGGATTCAGCCAGGGCCTTCAGAACCTCCAGAAGCTCCCATAAGTGAAGAGGAAGAAGAGGAGGAGTCTCTTCTCAATGCACAGGAGCGCAGAGCTGCCAAAAGGTAGGAGTGGCTCCTCAGGAGGAGGTCTCCTCGAAAGTAAGGCTTGGGGCCAATTGGCCACTCCCCCAGCCTATTTAAGGAAGGACGACGACTGAAGCAATTTGTAGGGAACAACTTTAGTTCATTCTCCTTCGCGTCTGGATTCTCTGCAAATTGCTTTTGGGCTTTCTGCCAACCATAGTAAGATTACGATTATTTATTCTTTGCATTCTTGTAGGCTGTTAAGAAAGTTAATTAACAGCCTTTGTTTGAAAAATACTGATTTAATTTAGTAAACTAAGGTTTGTACAGACTGTGTGTGTGCTGCGTTCTTTGGGGTCCGTAGCTGGGGCAGAACAAGAGCCCGTTTTTGCTGGCAGAGCGCTCGGGCCACCAAAGACATCCCCGAGATGCGTGAGGTCGAGCTGGCCACACTCACCCCGGTCCCTCAAGGTCAAACACAACCCTGATGTGGCCCTCAATGAAATCGAGTTTGATGCGCCTGTTTTAAGTATAGTACTTATATATCTACCGTGTTTCCCCCAAAATAAGACCCTGTCTTATATTTTTTTGAACCCTGAAATAAGCGCTTGGCCTTATTGCCAAGCACTCAAAAGCCCGATTGGGCTTATTATCAGGGGATGTCTTATTTTGGGGGAAACAGGGTAAATAGCATATCTGTGCGTTATGTATGCGCACCCTTCTGAGAGAAGGCCACAGAATTAATGTGCGCCTGTATGTCCACAGGGAAAAAAAATGACAATAAAGTTATCTTATCAAAAGGAACCGGGCTCACCCAGGTCTCCGAAGTGTGCAGCTTCCATGTGGCTGGGCTGCTTCTTAAGGGCGGCTGTGCGACTGCTGCAGGATTCCATGTTGGCCGAGATGGCGTTGATCGCCACGTGGCTTGGTCCGGCGGCCTCGAGCAAGGCATGGTTCCTGGTACCTCTCTGCGGAGAATATCCTGGTGCAGCCGCTGGAAAGGGAACCACAAGGTGATGCTGCTTTTGCGAGCTAAAACCTGGGTTAGTTTTGCAGGGGTGGCCAGACATCCTATCCGTGTTGTATATACAGGTTGTCCTCGACTTACAACCACAATTGAGCCGAAAATTTCTGTTACGGAGCAAGATAGTTGTTAAGTGTATTTTTACCCTGTTTTACGACCTTTCTTGCCGTTAAATTGGTAACCCAGTCGTTCAGTGATTCTGGTTTCCCCTTTTGACTTTGCTTGTAAGAAGGTCGCAAAAGGAGAGTTCACACTGCGATGGTCATAAATGTGAGTCAGTTGTCACGCCTCTGAATTTAAATCATGTGACCATGGGGGTGCTGCAATGGTCATAAGTGGGGGGAAAACGGTCATAAGTCCCCTTTTGCGGTGCCTTTCTAACTTCAAACGGTCACTGAATGAACTGTTGTTATGTTTGTTTGTTTGTTTGTTTGTTTGTTTGTTTGTTTGTTTATTATTTATTTATTTATTTATTTATTTATTTATTTATTTATTTATTTTTATTAAATTTCTATACCGCCCTTCTCCCGAAGGACTCAGGGCGGTGAACAGCCAGAAGATAAAACACAGGAAATACAAAATCTAAAATAAATTAAAACAAATTAAATAATTTAGGCTGAATTTTAAAATGTTCTTGATGTAATGTTCACAATTCGGACCAAACATTCTGTCACTAAGTGATACGGGCCATAAAGCACCACTGGTGGAAATTCCCGACTTTCTAAATAAATCAGCAGGGAAAGCTGCAAATGGCGCTCAAGGGATTGGATCTCTATAGGAAGTTCCTATCAAAAATTCAGAAGCACATTCCATACATTAAAATTAATCATGCTGAGGAGTAGCCCAGCCCTTCTGAATCTATGAATTATAAACAGAATTATAAACAGTCCAGAAATGATGTAATTTCATTTCTTTCCACTTCCTGCTGTTGCATTCAGGACAACGGGAGTGATTAAGTCAGTGTTTTTCCTCAACCGTGGCAACTTTCAGAGGTGTGGACTTCAACTCCCAGAATTCCCCAGCCAGCACGGCTGGCTGGGGAATTCTGGGAGTTGAAGTCCACACCTCAGAAAATTCTCAAGGTTTAGAAACCTTGGTTTAAGTCCGTGATGGCGAATCTATGGCACGTGTCCCAGAGGTGGCACGCAGATTGTCTCTTTGGGTACGCACTGTCACCAGCTGGTCTTCGCAGGCACCGGAGTGCCGGAAAATGGCCCGAAAAATGTCCCTAGACGGCCAAAAAACAGGCCATTTTTCCGGGATGTTTCCGGGCCATTTTCAGGTTGTTTTCACATTGTTTTTTGGGTTGTTTTCTGGCCGTTTTCTATGCAATTTTCAGGGCATTTTTCGGCCTGAAAACAGCCCAAAAACTGGCCTGAAAACAGCCTGAAAAATGCCCCCAAAGCAGCTTGAAAATGGCCTGAAAAACAGCCTGTTTTCAGGCCGTTTTCAGCTCAAAAAAGTGCCCGAAAACGGCCCGGAAAACAGCCCAAAAACAGCCAAAAAAACAGTTATTTAGCTTTTCTTTGTAACCTGGAAGAGGAAAAAACTAGTTTTCTTCGGGCTGGAGAGGAACTATTAAAATATTTTGCTGCACTATGACAGTACATTGAGTCCTTGACTTACAACTGTTCATTTAGTGACTGTTTGAAGTTACAATGGGATTGAAAAAAGTGACTTATGACCATGTTTCACATTTATGACCATTGTAGCCTCCCCATGGTCACATGGTCAAAATTCAGGCGATTGGCCACTGACTCCGATTTATGACAGACGCAATGTCCCCGGAGTCACATAATCCCGTTCTGCGACCTTCTGAGAAGCAAAGTCCATGGGGAAGCCAGATTCAGTTTATGACCATGTGACTAAACTTAACTACAATGATTCACTTAATGACTGAGGCAAGAAAGGTCGTAAAATGGGGCAGAAGTCACTTAGTAAAATGTCTCACTTATTAAACAGAAATTTGGGGCGCCATTGTGGTCGTAAATCGAGGACTACCTGTGTCTGAAAGAAAGAGGCTCGGAGTAGAGCTAGCCCCCAACTTACAACCACTTATTGTTACCACAGAACTGAGAAAGTGACTTCTGACCGGTCCCTGCACTTATGACCATTGCGGCACCCCTATGCTCACGTGATCAAAATTTGGGTGATTACCACAGTGAGTTCTGTGTAAATTCAAAGTGACTCATATTTATGACAGTTGCAGCATCTCGGATGCGACTCACTTAACAACAGCGCTGCTTATTATTATGGTTGTAAGTTGAGGACTGCCCGTAACGGAGATTCGGGAAGGTCATTTGAGCAGAATCTCCTAATGGTAAAAGATGATGGACATTTTGCAGAAATCGAGGGGAGTTCAGACTGAATCCCTAATTCCTGGGAAATTCAGGTTTTCATAGAATGGAGCCTCTTACCAAAATTGCCGGGCATCTGAGCCAGTCCAGACTCTGCAAATATGAAAGGAAAGCAGTTAATTTCTTGCTGAGGATGTGAAATGTGACAGAAATATGATACAGTGCCCATCCCGCATAACTTTACAAGCCCTTGTAGAGTTGAGTCAGCATATTCAAGGTCAAATCCAGGTTAAAATTAGACAGTTTATGAGACCCTCAGCGCAGAATCTGAATGTCAGGGTAAAAAAAAAAAGATAATGGCTTGAAAATTAAATTCCAGATCATCAGCGGGATTATTGCCAAGACAGTCGTCTTGAGGCAGAAGGAACAGCAGAGTTGAATGTGTCCTTGGGCAGTAAGAACATAATAATATTGATCAGGAGTGGGGATCAGAGGCCCCTTTATAACTTGTGGACTTCAACTCCCAGAATTCCTGAGCCAACATGGGTAACGAGGGTCCTTTTATGACATGTGGACTTCAATTCCCAGAATTCCTGAGCCAACATGGGGAACAATGGCCTTTTTAGGACTTGGGGACTTCAACTCCCAGAATTCCTGAGCCAATATGGGGAACCATGGCCTTTTTAGGACTTGGGGACTTCAACTCCCAGAATTCCTGAGCCAGCATGGCTGACTCAGGAATTCTGGGAGTTGAAGTCCCCAGGTCTTAAAAGGGCCATGGTTCTCCATCTCTAATAGCGTGAAGGCCTTTTTGCCATCTCTTGTGCCAACCGAATATGCTCACAGGCTGACGACACTAAAAGGGCATGCTCAGTACAGCTAGTCCTCGACTCGCGACTGTTTGCTTAGCGATCTTTTAAAATTACGATGGCTAAGTTACACACCACCTGTCTTTAAAGTTTATTTTATTTATTTGTATCCTGCCTTTAACTTGCAAATAACTCAAGGCGGTGAACATATCTAACACACCTTCTTCCTCTTTTTTCTCCCACAACAACCCAGTGAGGTGGATCGAGCTGAGAGACAAGGACTGGCCCAAAGTCCCCCAGCTGGCTTTCATGCCTAAGGCGGGACTAGAACTCACCGTCTCCTGGTGATTGGCTCCCAGTCCCTCCCAGCTGGCTTTCATGCTAGAACTCACCGTCTCCCAGCTGACTTCATGCCTAAGGCGGGACTAGAACTCACAGTCCCCCAGCTGACTTTCATGCCTAAGGCGGGACTAGAACTCACCGTCTCCTGGTGATTGGCTCCCAGTCCCCCAGCTGGCTTTCATGCCTAAGGCGGGACTAGAACTCACCGTCTCCTGGTGATTGGCCCAAAGTCCCCCAGCTGGCTTTCATGCCTAAGGCAGGACTAGAACTCACAGTCTCCTGGTGATTGGCTCCCAGTCCCCCAGCTGGCTTTCATGCCTAAGGCGGGACTAGAACTCACCGTCTCCTGGTGATTGGCTCCCAGTCCCCCCAGCTCACTTTCATGCCTAAGGCGGGACTAGAACTCTCATCTCCTGGTGATTGGCTCCCAGTCCCTCCCAGCTGGCTTTCATGCCTAAGACAGGACTAGAACTCACCGTCTCCTGGTGATTGGCACAAAGTCACCCAACAGGCATTCATGCCTCAGTTGGAACTAGAACTCACTGTCTCCCACTTTCTAGGCTGGTGCCAGATCAAACTGACTACAAGTTTCATTCTACTTAATTCTTAATTAAGTTTCAACTGCTACACCACCCCTATGGTCACATGATTTGCATTTCGGGTGTTTGGCAACCGGTTTGCATTTACAACACGTTGCAATTGGATTTACAACAGATTGCATTTATATCAGATTGCCCCAGGGCAAAAAATACTCACTGAATACACTGGATTTGGACTTGCGATCTTGTGACTGGCTTAGAAGCCACAGTGATTCGCCGTCACAAAAAACAGTTATAAAATCGAGTCAACGGTTATAAGTCAAGTCACCTGGTGACTTGACTTACGGCCATAATGAGTTACTAGTAAAATTCCAAGCTCAATTGTGGTCAGAAGTCGAGGACCAACTGTACTTAAAAAGAGGAGAGATACAGAGTGGGAATCATGCAGATTGAAAAAAAGGTGGCCACCCAAAGCATTTAAGAGCATTTGCATTACCATATTTTTCGGACTATAAGACGCACCTAAATTTAGAAGAGGAAAACAACAACAAAAAAAGTTTTTGGCCTCCACGTGCCCCATTTTTGGCCTTTTTTTCTGCCCATTTTTGGGGCTTTTTTTTGGCCTGTTTTTGAGGTTTTTTGGTCGAAAAAAGCCTCAAAAACGGGCTGAAAAAAGCCTCAAAAATGGGCTGAGAAAAGCCTCAAAAATGGGCTGAGAAAAGCCTCAAAAATGGGCTGAGAAAAGCCTCAAAAACGGGCTGAGAAAAGCCTCAGAAACGGGCTGAAAAAAGCCTCAAAAACAGGCTGAAAAAAGCCTCAGAAACGGGCTGAGAAAAACCTCAAAAACAGGCTGAAAAAAGCCTCAGAAACGGGCTGAAAAAAGCCTCAAAAACAGGCAGAAAAAAGCCTCAAAAACAGGCAGAAAAAAGCCTCAAAAACAGGCAGAAAAAAGCCTCAAAAATGGGCTGAGAAAAACCTCAAAAATGGGCTGAAAAAAGCCTCAGAAACGGGCTGAAAAAAGCCTCAAAAACGGGCTGAAAAAAGCCTCAAAAACGGGCTGAAAAAAGCCTCAAAAACAGGCTGAGAAAAACCTCAAAAATGGGCTGAGAAAAGCCTCAAAAACAGGCTGAAAAAAGCCTCAAAAACGGGCTGAAAAAAAAACCCAAAAATGGGTCAAAAAAAGGCCTGAAAAAGGACGAGAAAAGGCTCGAAAATAGGGTGTGCGGAGGCCAAAAAATGGCCGGTGGGTGGGCAGAGCTTCGGCAATACTGGGTCCATAAGATGCACAGACATTTTCACCCCCTTTTGGGAGACAAAAAAGTGTGTCTTATACTCCAAAAAATACGGTATATGGCAACCACACAGAACTAAACCACGGAAAAGGAGGAACTTACCTTTCGTTGCCCTGGCTTCTGCTGGCTTCTGGTGCTCTCTGCCTCTCACTGCAAAGACACAGAGAGGCTGGTTTTAGGGATGGAGGAAAAATTTGGGACTGCCGTTGCAAATACCTGGGAAGACGTCTCCCCAGCAGCAGCAAAAGACGTACGGCATCACACAGGCCCTCCTCCACAAAGAGGGCGAAATGCATTCCATGCAGAAATAGAATCCACAGGTCAAATCAAAAAAGGAAAACATTAAAATGACAGACTGTTCTAAGTAAAAAAAAAAAAAAACAGTGACACAAGAGGACTTCAGGGCTAGGTCGGCAAAGGACACAGCAGTACAAATAAGATTGTTAAACTAGATTGCGCTTTTCAGACTTGGTCGCTTTCAGAGGGGTGGACTTCAACTCCCAGAATTCCCCAGCCGGCATGCTTTAAGATGGGTGAACTTCAACTCCCAGAATCCCCCATCCAGCGTATCTTACAATGGGTGGACTTCCACTCCCAGAATCCCCCAGCCAGCATGCTTTAAGAGGGGAGGACTCCAACTCCCAGAATTCCCCAGCCAGCATGCTTTAAGAGGGGTGGACTTCCACTCCCAGAATTCCCCAGCCAGCATGCTTTAAGATGGGTGAACTTCAACTCCCAGAATCCCCCATCCAGCGTATCTTACAATGGGTGGACTTCCACTCCCAGAATCCCCCAGCCAGCATGCTTTAAGAGGGGAGGACTCCAACTCCCAGAATTCCCCAGCCAGCATGCTTTAAGAGGGGTGGACTTCCACTCCCAGAATTCCCCAGCCAGCATGCTTTAAGATGGGTGAACTTCAACTCCCAGAATCCCCCATCCAGCGTATCTTACAATGGGTGGACTTCCACTCCCAGAATCCCCCAGCCAGCATGCTTTAAGAGGGGTGGACTTCCACTCCCAGAATTCCCCAGCCAGCATGCTTTAAGATGGGTGGACTTCAACTCCCAGAATTCCCCAGCCAGCATGCTTTAAGAGGGGAGGACTTCCACTCCCAGAATCCCCCAACCCGCATGCTTTAAGATGGGTGGACTTCAACTCCCAGAATTCCCAGCCAGCATGCTTTAAGATGGGTGGACTCCAACTCCCAGAATTCCCCAGCCAGCATGCTTTAAGAGGGGTGGACTTCCACTCCCAGAATTCCCCAGCCAGCATGCTTTAAGATGGGTGAACTTCAACTCCCAGAATCCCCCATCCAGCGTATCTTACAATGGGTGGACTTCCACTCCCAGAATTCCCCAGACAGCAATGCTTTAAGATGGGTGGACTTCAGCTCCCAGAATTCCCCATTCAGCTTGCTTTAAGATGGGTGGACTTCCACTCCCAGAATTCCCCATCCAGCAGGCTTTAAGATGGGTGGACTTCAGCTCCCAGAATTCCTCATTCAGCTTGCTTTAAGATGGGTGGACTTCCACTCCCAGAATTCCCCATCCAGCAGGCTTTAAGATGGGTGGACTTCAACTCCCAGAATCCCCCATCCAGCGTATCTTACAATGGGTGGACTTCCACTCCCAGAATTCCCCAGCCAGCATGCTTTAAGATGGGTGGACTTCAGCTCCAGAATTCCCCATTCAGCTTGCTTTAAGATGGGTGGACTTCAACTCCCAGAATCCCCAGCCAGCATGCTTTAAGATGGGTGGACTTCAACTCCCAGAATCCCCCAGCCAGCATGCTTTAAGATGGGTTGACTTCAACTCCCAGAATCCCACAGCCAGCATGCTTTAAGAGGGGTGGACTTCCACTCCCAGAATGCTCCATCCAGCCATGCTTTAAGATCTTTTTTTCCTTTAGAAAATATATGCATATGTGTGAGTAATTATGAATAAGAGAATGTACATTTACAATATGTTTATAAGAAATAAAATAAAAAACTTTTTTTCAAGATGGGTGGACTTCAACTCCCAGAATTCCCCAGCTGGCATGTTGCTGAAGTTGAGAAACATTCGTTGAAAGCCATCAAATCTGTTATCATTCAACAGCAGCTTCCAAAAATCTTGTGAAGGGCCTCCCCATAAGCCTGTTATTGATTTAAAAAGCTAATTTGGGACTATCTTAAGGTATGCTATACTTCCTCCCATTTCACTAAAGAGAGAGACGGAGGGAGGGAAGTGGAAACGAAGAGAAAGCGATGCTAAGCATAATTTTGTTCCCTTTTAACACTTCCCCATCCTACAAACACAACACTAAAGTCTTTAAAGAAATTTGTGCTATATTTTCCTCCTCCTGCTTCCTCCTCCTTTCCTCTAAGGCTGTCCTTCTCCAGGTCGTAAGGCTGTGCACTGGAGGCTCAATTCAGTTTCCAAACCTGAGCTGGCAGGATTTTGGGAAAAGAGGGAGAAGGACGCTCAAAGGAATAAATAATAAAAGAAGATTATACAGATGTCCAATGCTGACCATCTCAAGGTAGCAACTTCCCTGTACCAACCCCACTCCTTACTTTGGACATCACCAGCTGTTCTAGCTTTTCAAAAACCCGGAGAAAGGCGCCTGGGACGTCTAGTATAGGGCTGCGAGACTTCACTTCCGTCTGCAGCCGGATTGTTTGTAACGGAAACCAAAGATCACAGATCCTCCTAAGTGGCCTTGAAGCTCCCTTTTCAACTGTCACCATTCTGAGTGGCCAACTGAATTATGTCCATTCTAGGAGGTCATAAGAAGTCCAGGAGTTTTCCTCCTCCCTCCTGACACGGCTTTCCTTTTATGTTGAGGATTTATATGCCAAAATTGTGGAAACCTCTTGGGGAAAAGTGTATTTTTGAGGTTTGATGGCTATAATAATACCATTTTTTTTTCTTGGAGTTTCAAGATAATCCTATTCCACTGCTGGAATGGCCTGGGAAGAGCCCAGACCTTCACCCAATGGAAAATCTATAGAGAAACATGTTAGTTAGAAGCAACCCAGCAATAAAACCCAGTTAATAGAAGCCATTATTCATCTTGGTTTCACATTATAACAGCTGCAGAACTCAAAGACTTGGTTCCCTCCATGGGAAGACGTTGTAAGGCTGTAATTCAGGCTAAAGGTTACCCAACTAAGGATTAACTGACATGGGGATCATTTTTGTGTATCTTGTTTTTTCTACGTGTTTCACTTTTCTTCTTCATACTGCAACTGCTATTCTAATAGCAAATACTTCCTAAAAGTTATTGCATTACATACTTGATTCAATTATCTTTCCATTGATATATAATTTTATGATATTACTACTCCAAAAAAAAGTGGTGTTATTAACTAGTTTTAGAAAATATACTTTTCCTAAAAAGGTTTCCACAATTTTGGCCACTACCGTAAGCATTTAATTTAATTTAATTTTATTGATCAGGCCTTGGGCCCTATGAAAGTGCAGAGTTCCAGAAACAAATCATAACTAAAATTTGATAAAAGCAATTTAAAATGGAATGGGGATAAAATACGATTTAAAATGAAATTGGAATAAAGTCCAGTCTAAAATGAAACTGGAATAAAATACAACAATTTAAGATTCAGATAAAATATGATAAAATTATAATTTCGGTGCCAGCTGCTAAAATCTACCCCAATCAGTCCCATATATGCCAATTGCAACCGATCCATTTTGCTTGCTTCAAGGACTGCGCTGTGTTAAATGTTGTTTTCAGATTCTGGCCGCACATAAGATAAGTTGTTTTGATATGGGGGATCCCAATGGGTTATTCGTTTGGTATATAGTACCTTGTCTCTCACTTTATAATAATAATCATAATCATAATCATAATAATTTTATTTCTATACCGCCCCTCTCCCGAAGGACTCGGGGCACTGTACAGCCATTTTAAAACAAAAAATATACAAATATCAAAATTTAAAATTATTAAAAATATTACACAATTTCGGCCCGGATTAAAACCCCCAATTTAAAACTCCCAATTTAAGATAATTGCATAGTTAGCCCTGCCTGGCGAAACAGTAGGGTCTTAAGGGCACAGCGAAACACACGGAGGTCGGAGATTTTGCGTATTTCCGGGGGCAGTTCGTTCCAAAGGGCAGGAGCTCCCACAGAGAAGGCTCTCCCCCTGGGTGTCGCCAGCCGACATTGTTTGGCCGACGGCACGCTGAGGAGACCCTCTCTGTGTGAGCGGACTGGCCGGTGGGAGGCTATTGGTGGCAGAAGTCGGTCTCACAAGCACCTTCTCATACAGGCAACAATCAAATAGGACAGTGATGGCCAACCTATTGCCTTCATGTGCCAAAAGCGGGGGTAACCGGGGGTGTGTGTGTGGAGCGTGTGCTCACACCTATAATTCAATACTCTGTCCCCGCGCTCCCCCCACTTTTGCCACATGATGTCACGGTGGGCCCGTTTTTCGCTCTCCCCAGGCTCCAGGGGCTTTCTAGGAGCCTGGGGAAGATGAAAACTGCCTTCCCCGGAGGCTCTCTGGAGGCCGGAAACGGTCGTTTCCCAACTTCCGGAAGGCCCGTTTTTTGCCCTCTCCTGGCTCCTTCCATTCTAGGAACCTGGGGAGGGCGAAAATGGCCTTCCCCACCTCGCCCAGAGGCCCGTTTCCTGACTTCCAGTGGGCCCGAAAGGCCCGAAAATCAGCTGGCCGGCACGCACATGAGCGTTGGAGCTGAGTTAGGGCAACTCTCGCATGCCCACAGATATGGGTCCGCGAGCCACCTGTGGCACATGTGCCGTATGTTCGCCATCACGAAAATAGGATGTGAGCCAAGTCTTCTACCTCTTCCACTCCGCAAATGCAGAGACGTCCATTGTAGGGTATAGAATGGAATCTCCCCTATCTGATCCTTGTCTTAAGCAATTAAAAAGAAAGGATAATTCTCGGAAGGCACGATTGCAATAATGACCGGTGTATGCAAATATTTGCTGCTACGTAATTGTGTTAAGCAGGAAGGAGAAATGCTCTTCTGGCTTCAAATTTTATTTTATTCTGTTTTACAGGGGGTTCTTGACTTACAACCATTTGTTTAGTAACCGGCTGAAGGTGCAACGGCACTGGAAAAAAAGTGATTTACAACCGCTTTTTCACGCGAGCAAAATCCAGAGGCTTGGCAA